CTCCCTTTAGAAACAGAACTTGATAAAGTTGCAGAATAATAAATCTTTCAGTTATTCCACCATCTTACCACTGATACAGAGACTGTGATGACGGTCACTTTGACAGTAACGTTCAAAGATTAAAGATTAAATGCCTCAATCCGGACCACGTCCCTGCTGTTGAGTGTGAGTCAAGAACCTTCAATAAATGTGCAAGGTTAATAAGCTATAGGAGACTCGGGGCATTAGCTCACAGCCTGACCAGCAAACGGCTTTCAGGCCAGGACTGAATAATCTCATAGACGTGTTTTGTGTGTTGTTCAAACAGATACTAATACACAGGTCTGAGAAAACCGGGAATAAGATGTGGTATGAATGACTCTGCTGGCAATCGAGATCCCCCCAGCCAGCTTCCTGTTGTTCTGGAATGAGTTGTGAATATCAGAAATATCAGGAATTACTTCCTGGTGAAAATAAAAAGGTTTTTTAAAAAAAGTGGTATCGGCACCTCTAAAGTTTCAACTTTGTCAAGAGGTCGATGTTATGGAAGTGATAACTCTGACATTCGGTGTTGGCCATTCCGCGCTGCAGGAGTGAGGGGAGCTGATCGGTCATGAGCACTTCCACAGTGCTTCAGGTGCGGATGCTCTCCAACGCCTGCACGCACGCTTCCCGCAGCTCAGGAGAGTACTTCTGGTACGTGCAAGGGCTTCAGCCATCGGCTACCCCGCCAGGCGCACTGGGGAGCAACTCTGAGGTAAGCACCAGTGGTTTCAGGTAGAGTGGGTCCAGAGACTAGTAAGACAGCATCTGTGCTGTGGAAGGATCAGCCGCCCATCCTGTCGGGTGGGTTTCTCTAGAAGCGCAGGCGAGGCAGTATGTGCTCACCGAGAGCCTGACACAGGCACCGTGCCAGCTGACCGACAGACTCCCACGCAGCAATGGGTGATGTTCACTGGCCATCACACTGACAGCTAGTCAGTCACACGGCAGTGCTGGGTTAAAACGAAGACCCTGACGATGGGGAGATGTGATGACGAGATGGCACAGTGAAGGCACGCTGCTGTCACACAATGCCATTCTCCCTAGGAATGATTTGGTCAAAGTCACATCGCCTTAAAAATGCCTTTTATTTTCAAGTGGGTACTCGGCTCTCGGCAAACACCACCCTCCTTTCCCTGCACAGTTCCATAGTCCCTGTGGGCGCTAACCCAAGCTCACCGACCCGCCCATCACCCGCTAGGGTCCGCTTGGTGATGCTTCTCACGGAGCACATGGTGTTTGCAGCGACACCCTGTGGTCATCTGTCAGAATACATCCAGCAGGAAAGCTGCACGGCAGAGGCCTGTGGAATCCTGTTGAGAGGCTCCAGGAAAGAGCAGGCACAGGGCGTCTCAGCCAGAGTGCACTCTTGCCCCAGTGTGTCCTTGGATGAGCTACCATGCCTCCCTGATACGTGACGAACGTCTGTGCTCCGGTTAGCCAATTATCCTAGATCAAACTAGCGCTCCTTATCTCACACCAATGATGCTTTGATCCAGGTGCCTTGTTAGTTCTTCTGGAATTCTATGACATGAGTTGTGTATCAAACCCGGTAATTGTAACCCATGTGAATGAAGTGTTGCTTTGCTGAATGTATATGAACTCGAACCCTGGAAATAAACCTTGTCGGTTGCTGTCCCACTATTTCTTTTCGATCGCATCTCCTCCCCAGGAACCCGCAAGGTAGACTTGCAGCCATCTTCCTGGACGAGGAACGCAGAGGCTCTGTCGTCATCACCGTCAGCCCCAGCAGCTCCTGGCTGGCTCACTTTAAGTTCAGATCCCCTCATCGCCTCCTCTGTGCATCCTGCTTTTTCTGGGTCCTGCGCTCATGCGTCTGCAGCAAGCTGCTCCTCCACATGGTGGCTGTGCCCAGGGAGACCCAGCTGGGACTCTTCCATCTCACGGACCACTCGCTGTTCCTTTCTGCCCGTGGGCTTCCTCCACAGGACCTTGCTACTCATCCTGATGGCGTTCATGGTTCATAGGATACTTGTGCTCATGGACCCGTGTGGCTTCTCTCTAAGCAGTGTGGGCTCCTTGCTGCTGACATCCTCCAGCTTTGCTGTCTCATCCTCTGCAGGTATGACCTGGACAAACGACCCCACGGCGGCTGGTCTCCATGGTTACAGCATCATCCGTCCTTTGGTGCTAATATGGGGAAGCAACAGTAACTGGTTAATGAAATTTACCTAAGAGATGCTTTCCACTCACCAGAGCAATTTCACACGGCACAGAATTTCCTGGAAAACTAAAAAAAAAAAAACCTGATTTATTTGGGATGACACATTTGCTGTGACAACAAAGGCATCTTGAGAAATATACCTTATTTTCACCCCAAGTATACATCAGATTGATTTGCATGTTTCTGAATTTCCTGACTTGCCATTTCTTTTTGCATCTCTGATATTTTTCTAAGGTTATTTTCCTTTCTTGATTTACATTCCTTGAAAAAATTTTAATGAAGTTCTGAAGTGCATTCCCCTTTGTTTAACTGAAAGTATCTTTGCATTGTACTTTCTTGAAAAGAAGTATCTTAGCAAGACACCCATTTCTTCAAAGAAATCTTTTTGATGGGGAGGGGCTTGCATTTTCACTGAATGCCCTGTCATTCCGGCAATTGTCCCTTTTCAGGAAAATGCCGTGGACCCTGGGCTAATCTTAATTTCTCACAGTTTTTGAAGTAATCTGAGTTTTACTGAAATGTATGCATGTGAATATCCTTCCTACATTCCTACTGTCATATCTATTTTTAAACCTCCCCTTATCCTTGTGGGTAAGTCCCATTACTATTCCTACCAAATATGTTTGCTTCCACCACTTACTTTAAAATTCAATTTAATGTGCAATTCAACCTCATAATCTTTCATATTTTTCATTTTTCTATTCATAATTTCTATACAATATTCACATTTAATCTATTATTTATACATAATGAATGCAAATGAGCAAGATAGGCTTCCAAGCACACTAAAAAGTATAACCTTATCAGCCATTAATAGAGTGCTAAATTTATTTTTTGCTTCTTTATTTTTTTTTAAAGATTTATTTTTATTATTTTTTTATTGGAAAGGCGGATATACAGAGAGGAGAGACAGAGAGGAAGATCTTCCGTCCGATGATTCACTCCCCAAGTGAGCGCAACGGGCCGATACTATGCCGATCCGAAGCCAGGAGCCTCTTCTGGGTCTCCCACGCGGGTGCAGGGTCCCAAAGCTTTGGGCCGTCCTCGACTGCCTTCCCGGGCCACGGGCAGGGAGCTGGAAGGGAAGCGGGGCTGCCGGGATTAGAACCGGTGCCCATATGGGATCCCGGGCGTGCAAGGCGAGGACCTTTAACCACTTGCGCCACCGCGCCGGGCCCTGCTTCTTTATTTTTAAGGATTTATTTTACTTGAAAGTCAGAGGACACAGAAATCTTCCATCTGCTGGTTCACGCTCCCCTAATCCACCCCTCACTAAAGAACCAGAGATAACAGATTAGATTCACTGTGAACTCCCTTCACCAGCTTTCGCTAGCTCATATGGTTACTACGCATCCTTCCAAAGCGCTGGCTTTAGGTAAGAAACCTCAGTTCTCTCCAACAGCGTGTGTGCCTCCCGATGCTGCCAGGATCCACAGATACGCACACAATCCACGGTAAACACGACTTTCTACTGACTTAACCTGGGAGAGCTTCCCAGGCAACTCGGCAAGCACGCGCCCACACGGTGGCCGACACAGGCCTGTGGTGGAGGGCTCCGTTTCTGCCGCCCGGGACCCTCGCAGCGTGAAAAGAGCGACCTGCCTGACCGCAGTGGCTCTTGAGAAATGCTGACTGTGACGTTCTGTGCTGCACTATGTCACGATCATATACGGTTATGTCTTCAAGTCCAAAATCAAACACCCTGCTTTCAGCACTGCACACCATTAGGACTCGCTGTATTATTTTAACCAGGAAGACCCTTACACTTTTGTTTATTTATGTCCAGGGTTTATAAAACTAGTAGTTCCTGGAGCTCAGGACCAATACTTCCTTCACATAAACTCTATTCCTTATTTATAACCTCTACCTTGATATACATCATAATCTAAAAACTATTTAGAGTCAGCTTAATACACTCCCAGTACCTTGGCAATAGTTTCACTCCCTTTACGCTGTATCTTACATGTTGACAGAGATGATGGCCTGTTACATATTTGTTTAGCAAGATTTATTATTTCCTTAGGTCAATGTGTGATCATCAGAACATTCTTTGGATGCCAGGAAAATATAAATGTTTTTATGTGGGATATGTTGTTACATATTTGCATTAGTTCAAACCTTTTAGTCATTGCATTCACTTCTGAAGTGACTGAACAAGAAGAAAATCACTAATAAAATTCTTCTGAGCCAAAACTGCTGGAACTTAGACTTCAAAAGATGCCATGGCGGTGGGCTTTTAGCCTACTGCTTAGAACAGGCACTAATGGATGCATTCCATCCTGGAGTTTCCAGGTGCCCGCCTGGACGGTGGCTCACGTGCCCGGGGCCCTGTCACCCACATGGGCGGTCTGGCCCGAAGCCCATGCCACCTGGCACTGCACAGCCCTGGCTGCTGTGAGCACTCGGGCAGCAAGCCAGTAGATGGTAGCTTCCCTGCCACTTTAATAAAATTTTAAAAAGATACAATGAGCAATGAGCATAATATTGCTATAACTGCCATAATATTATGATATGAAAAATAAATCCTAAATAGCAAAAAAATTAATATTAAGTTGTAAAATGATAAAACAATAAAAGCAATTTTAAAATATGAAAAGATATTCAAGTCTCATTTTATGAGACTGGATTTTAGAAAAGTGAGCCTGCTGTAAGTGCAACACAGATGTTAATACGCTGAAACTGTCTTCTGCAGTGTATCTCGAGAGAAGTTCCAACTCAACGCTTTGTTAAGTTTTATTCTCTGACATCAAAACCTGTTTTAACCATAAAAAGAAAGGACGCATTCAACATCAGGTACAAATCATGTCTTACTTTAATTGAGCTCGTCATTCGCACTCTTGGCTGCCACTCTGGTGGCAAGCAGGTCCCTGCTTCTCAGGCACACAGCATCTGGCCAGACTGACAGCCAGTCTGACCCTGGACCCCAAACCAGGCCTTCCAAGAACAGCGAAACGGGAAATGCAAAAGGCAGCTTTCCTTTCTCTTAGAAAGGGATGTGAACCAGAGCACCCCAACCGCCCCCTCTAGTCCAGGAAAGCCAAGTTGAACGCAAACACAGAAACCAAAATTCAGGAATGGAGTATGGCACTCTCACACACACAAGGTCAAGACAGTTTCTGAGAAACACGCCTCACTTCCGGCCTCTTCCTCCAGGGATGGCCCCACTGTCGTTAAATGGAAGATGTTTTTGCTCCAATTTCCCTAGGAAATATATCCACTGAGAGATATAACAGAAGAAAATAAGTCAGCTCACAAGAAATATTGTTGCTGAGACTATTCAGCACATTATTTCAAAGTGGCAAAACTGGGGGCTGAGAGAATTCCAAAGTGGCAGCTACACTCACTGATAGGCTTACGTAAGACACACACACACTCGCACTTCTCCTTCCAGTGTATACATCAAGGGGCCAAACCCCAATCAACACAATAAGTTACTCTGTACATTACAGTGCAGAGAGCAGCCAGAGGGGGATGAAAAGCATCGTGTAAGAGGTCCGTGTCCCTTGGAGGTGGGAGGCCCGGGGCCCAGCACCCGCGGCCTTCATTAGCTGGGTCCCTTCTCTTCTTTGGTTGCAGGGGCCTCACTCACAGCGGCTGCTGCCACTCCTTCTGCTGGCGTTTTCTCTTCCTCCTCTTCCTCATCCTCTTGGGGATAGAGATCCGGGTATTTCTGCATACACTCTTGCATGGCCCGGAACTGGTCTACACAGTCTGATCCCTTGAGCTCCTCCTTGCTGTAGTGGAAGCAGGAGAAGGCGGACTTGAACTGCTCCCCGCAGGGGCCACTGGCCATACCGCCGAGGCAAGGGCAGTTCCAGTTAATGTCTCCATTGGGCAGTATCAACCCTAGAACAAGAAGACAGCAAGGAGAATATGAGAGATGCTCTCAAAAAGCTTCAGTAAACGCAAACCAGGCCACTTGGGAGGGACAGCACAGCATGAATCGCTAGCTGGCAGGCCCTCCCTCGTGGGTCTGCCTCCCACTGCAGATCTGACTCAGTGTCTACCTCAGAGGCAGCAACTCCTTGGCCCAGTGACACCGCTGCCATCAGCCTCTATAAACACCCTGTCAGCTCCGTGTCGTGGTGTCCTCCAAGATTTAAATCCTGGAAACCATTCACTTCAAAGCAGCAGCCATCTTCCACGGTTCACCAGAGTTTTCTGAAAACCCAAGCAATCCGAGCCAACATTTACCTGCCAGATAAGATGCTCAAGAACAAGACCACCCCAAGACCCCCAACCCTGGAGCTGTATACCCTGGAGCCGCCCTCAGGGCTCAGCACAGCTGGGGAGCTGGAAAGGAAGCTGTAAGGACGGCCAAGGCACGCTCTACAGGAAGAAGCCAGCAGCCTGACAGGTGGCAAGATCAGATGTGACGAGTATGAAGATGGGCTTTCATTTGCAGTACCATATAAGCCTCTCACTTCTGAGTTTCAAACTTTTTCTTTGAAATTTTTTCAAGTCTAAACAGGATTTTCCAGTTTTTAAAGACAACAGCTTCATTTTTTGGCTTGGCAGAGAACTCCACCTGTCTACAGAGTTCTCACATGAGTCTTCCACACAGAGAGCATTCTGTGAGAGTCCCAACACTTCCGGTGACGTCACATCCGCTCCTTCACTCCACACCTATGTCCAAGCCCTGGGTGATCCCCACCTCGACCTGCAGCGGGGGAAGCTCTGCAGTGGATCTGCGGCCAGTGCTCACTTACACAATGGGGAGATGGTGGGGGTATCTACTGGCACTGGCCCAAGATCACCAGCCAGCAGCACCACCAAGTTACGATCCTGCCAACCTTCATGGTGGGTACCGCTGATACAACTCACACACATACGGCTTCTGGGGTCCAGAGCCCCCATGCAGGAGGGCTACCAAGGCCCCCAGCTTCCCAGGGCCCACCTCCTCTCCTGCTCAGGAAAAGCACAGGGCAGTGCTGCCTTCTGCTATCAAGCCTGCACACCCTGTCCAGGGAAGAATCCTGGCAATCTAGGAGGGCGAGTTAGGGTGAAGACAGCCCCTTACAGGGGAGCTGCACCTGAGGACCATGGTAAGTCCAGAGCAGCTTTGATAACTCAAACCCAGACACAGTATGTTTTAAACTGCCATCATCAAAGGCTGGAGTTTCACTCCCTGTCTCAGCCAGTTCCTGACCCCTCCCGGTCCTCCCTGGACAGGAAGATTTTTTAAACCCTCTGATTTTAATTTCTTAAGCGCTACCAGTCACAGAACTGGGTGTTGGCTGCCAGACATCTAAAATCACTGGGGCCTACTAAGTCCACTTGATAGTTTTGCCATGGAAAACTTACAGCTTGGATCAGAACTGTGTTTGAAGAGTTTCCTTGAACAATTACTCACCTAAAGGGGTGGCAAAAAAAACACCTACACCAGAGGGGGCACCCACAGGGTGCAGATGGATAAATTATAAATGACAGGGACAAGCAGGTAGCGAAAACAATGTGGACGACGAAGAATCACAGGAAACAGAGAAGGCCCAGAAGGAAGCCAAGACATTCACACTATTCAACAAAACACCGGACGGCAGGACCCGACGCGTCCTGTAGCTCACAAAACGTGCTGTCAGCACGGACCTACAGGCAGGGGACTGAGACCAACACAGGACTGACCTTTCTTCACGGAGAGTGACAGCCGCCACTCAGGGGCTAGCACTCTACAGGATAACTACACTCCCCTGGCCCCCAGGGACGCACCCCTAGCTTGACTCTAACCCCAAGGAGTAGTGGGGAGCGAGCACACTGTCCCACCTAGAAATATCCACTCAGCGTTCAGGATATTTCAATCAAGAATTCATAAGCCAGAGGTGGCCGTTTCAAGCTCTACAACGAGACTTACCACCAATTAGCACTCGGAAGTGTGTTAGTGTCACGGCTGTGAGGGTGGTCTTGGCCTGGAGAACTGCTCGTGGACACTTCCTCCCCACTCCACCTGCCACTCTCCACAACCAAAACCCACGGGCTGGGCGGTGTCCAGTGAGTCCCTCACCCAAAGTCTCCAGATACAGCTGTAGGTCCAGGAGACCGCCATTAGCCACCCACCAACGAACGTCCACTCCTGCCACTGGAAAGTCAACAGTGTGCTGGGCACACCGCAGGAGAGTGGGGCTGCAAGGTGCCTGATGGCGCACGTCAGACTGTCACTTTAGCCCACTTGTAACTGCCACAATACACAGGTGCCCCCCCCCAAACTGGACCACCCATCCTGGCCAGAGCAAAATGGAAAAGGATTTACAAATAATGAACTTACTCCCTCTAAAAAAAAAAGAAAAAAGTTCCTGCGGCTTCCGGAGGCCCCCCTCACTCACCGTGCTCCTCGTAGGGGTCGTCGGGGTCATCGGCCACCAGCTCCGCACTGCTTGGAGTCTCATGATCTTCTTTGGTCACAAATATAATCCGATCCTTCCCTAGGATTTGGAGAACAGAAAAAAACGTCTGAATCCAAAGTAGTGACTGAGCCTTAAAGCAAAGTAGCCACACAAATCAAGTTTGTCCACGTGTCCCTCGGGAAAAGTGACCACCCAACTGCTCCCCCAGGCTGCACGGTTACTTGGTGGCGGAGGCTGTGATCTCACTGCTCGAGGGCTGGCCACTAGGAGGAAGACAGCACCCCTGCCGCCACGCGTGTCGTCTAGGTGGGAGGCTGTCCCCTTGGAGCGTGTCCACGGCAGGCTGGCCGTCCACGGCATCCTCCACTGGCTGTGAGCTTCTCACCCACTCGCTCGGCCCCCTGCTGCCAGCAGTCAACGCTCAGGCACACTCCGAAAGCCCCGCTCCCCATTCTGTGGGACACAGGGGAGCAGGGCAGAGGCACTGATGACTAACAACTCGGACCAAGTGACAGCGCAGAGGGACGCAGTGCGCCGTGGCCCACAGCTGCTACAGCCATCACATCTCTCCACAGACTTCCTTTAGACAAGACCCTTTCTAGGCCCTTCGGCTCCGGGAGTCATCAGAAGGCAGGGTCGTGATGGTAGGGCATGACAGCCACAGCCCACAAGGCCAGGGGGCTTCTGCCAGGAAAGGAAGCTCATCACAGAAGTGCTGAGGTGACCACTCTGAGACCACCTGCAGTTTGCTGCTCTTTCAGGACAAGCACCACAGGCTGATGGGTAGGATCAGGCAGTGTGGACGGAAACCAACACTGGGGAGTCTGCACGTTAGGCACACACAGTCCTGATTGGGGCAGGAGCGGGAGTGCTCCAGGAAGCAGACAAGCAGAAGCCAATGCATCCTCCCCAGGGCGCTAGGTGAGCACAGCAAGGGGCATCCGTACTGGACGAACAAGGATGGACGAGTTGGTGCCTTTTTCAGCTAAGGCTTACGGTGAGCCCACAGTATGGCCACGCGCAGTCGCCAGAGTGTAGAGCAGTCACTCCCGACCCACCAGAGGCATCCTCCCTGCCCAGCCTCCACTCCCTCATGGCTCTGTCTCAGACACCATGCACCACCCCCTTCCTGTTACCTGCTAAGCATGCATAGGTTTGCGCCAGACACTCCTCGGAGGAGTGGGCATCAGCACCCCACCCATGATGGTGGGTCACCAGCTTCCTGACTGTCCCTGAGGACAGACTGGGCTGGCCCATATCTGGTGTTTTACCCAGATTTTCAGATCCCCCAGAAATCATCAGGAGTCTGAAGTTGATGCAAATGCATAGGAGTGGTTTATTCAGACTAGCCTAGACTCCCAGCCGCCACCCAGCCCGGGCGGGGACTGGGGAGCGGGCAGCAGCAGGGGTAGCCGTAGCAGCAGCAGCACCGAGGTTGGACAGCACAGGGTTTTTATACGCTTCAGGCCAATTCCACACAATTACACAGTCATGACTGGTCAGGTCAACTGCTAACTTTTAAAAAGAGCAGGTTGGCAGGCTTTTCTTGGTGGGTTTGAAGCTAGCAACTTTCAAACAGTGCAAACTGGTGGGCTATAGGGCAGTGAGGAGCCTTATCTAACACCAGGGGCCTCCTTCCTGAGGAGCGCCCTGCCTACGTGACCTGCCAGGTGTCACACAGCCCTCCAGCCAAGCAACCAATCAGAAACACCGAGGTTCCTCACTGGGTCCTGCATGTCAGCTAGCTCTTCCACTCCATCATGACCCGGAAAGGACAAGCGGGACCTTTTAAGAGCAGTGAGCCCGAAGCCCTTGGTGGTGGCTTGCCTGGACTCCACCAGCCTAGAACTGCCAAAGTCCACAGCGCCTCTGTGCCTCTCCTCCAACACATCCACATGAGGAGCAGCCTGGCTCGCCTTGCCTGGACAAAGGTTCGAAGGTTCACAGGCCACGGGCAGACAGAAACGCAAAACACACACTGACCCTCGGCCGATCCCGGGCAGCGCACAAGGGAATAACTCTTTCTGGAGTCTTTCGGGACAAGCAGTGGGGACGGGAGGTCCCTCAGTACCTCAGTGACCGTCCTTGGGAGGCCTCCCGGGCAACCCCGCATGGAAGCGGCCACAGCAAGGCTGAGGCCCAGCTGCCCGAAAGCCGCTGCATGGTCCTGGATTCCTGTTAAATTATCATCCTTATTTTCCGTTGAAAAGATGTTGATGGCAACCATGGAAGCATGTCTCCAGTGGGGACAGCTCAGGGGAAGGAAGGGCGGGCCACGAGGCCTTCCACGTGCCCCACCTGCAGGGGACCTACAGGGCCGACACGCAGCTGACCCAGATCACATTCCCTCCCACGAGCCTGCTTTCCGCGGGCGGCCGCGCGTGGACCAAGCGGCCAGGCATGTAAGCTCACAGGTGAGGCCGGCGATTCCAGCCAGTATTCAAAGCACTCTGCGACAGTCCTGCAAGAATGCTGAATCCTAGGCAGAAAAGAAGCGAGTCTCAGCGCAGCTCCGACACCTGTTTCCTGAGGTCTGAGCGCAGCACAGCCCTGTGGTAAGGTCCTGTCATAGGCCCAGAGGCAAAGGGCTCCAACCTGGTGGGTACCGACGGCTGTGTGATGCAGAGGCCAGGCCTCACACGAGAAGCCAAACCAAGTTCTGGGGAACAGGCAGTTCTCAGTGCTGCCGACGAGGCAGGCTAGGACAGGACTTAGCACATGCCCACCAGGACCCCCCAGGCCCCTCTCCTGAGGCCAAGCCCTCACGGGCACCTCCTGGGAGGCACACCCAACTTAAGGAAAAGGGGTTTAAGGGCTGCTTGTTTACACATCCACGCCCCTGCAGGCCTTTGCCCGAATTCCTTTAATCACCACTAGGATGTCTGAGGTGCTGCTGCTCCTGTAAACGCCCAAAGGCACAGCAAGTCAGCAGAGCGAGAACAGGTGCCCCACACACCTGTCCCAGCAGCCCAGGGCCTGAGGTGGGGCAATGCTCACCAGTTCTCAGCAGACCCCACTGGGAAAGAGACCCCATCACTAGACTGCCACGCAGTGGGGTCACTAGCCATGCATATCACCAAATCCCCTAAAGAAATGCGAGTAAAATACACTGGTGTTCTGCGCCAGAGTCCACATGTTGGGAAGGGTGTGGCTGAGAACTATATACGCCCTCCAGCTCACAGAGCACCCCTGGGTGCAGACCTGGGCTGAGGTACCTCCCAGCTGCACGACCTCAGGCACCTTCTGAGTACCAGGAAACAGCTCTCACTGGCCATGTGAGCAAGAACCAGGACTCGGAGTCAGACACAACGGGTGGCCTGAGTTTCTCTCCAAGGACAGTAAATTTTTAAACGGCACCACGTGACAATTACGGTGCAAGTAAGAGGACAAGCTCAGGTGAAAGATGTGCAGTGTCGCAAGGAGGGCAGATGGAGGAGCGTCCCCACCTCGACGGTGACAGCGAGGCCCCAAGTGCACCAAGAGGCAGCTGAGCTGCAGCACACAGCTCCCGCCCAGCTCTCGGAGAGTGGGGTGCAAGGCTGGTCTGTGGGACCAGGATGAGATCTGAAGCAGCAGCTAGCTACCAAGGCAACCCTGGCCCCTCTCCCTCAACGCCTGCCTGACTTTCACACCTCCACAGCAAATCCAGGTGGTTCTGCCTTCAGGGACAGCCAGAAAGATCTGTGCCCTCACCTCCCACTGTCAGCTCCCTCCGCTCTGCGGTGCTGGCCTCCTGGACCACCTGCTGAGGCCACACACTCTCCTTCCCCTTTGCACGAACCGCTCTCACCTCCACGAGAGCGACCGCCACCCCCTCTGCCCACGCCGACCTCTCCCAGCTCCCTCCACCATGCTTTCTCATCTGGCCTGCCTTCAGAAACAGCATCTCTGCTGTATCCAAGAGGCAAACTCAGAACCTAGTAGAGAAATTCAAGCCGTGTGAGGAGTTAGACGGGGTAGTAGGCAGTTCAGGCATTCTGGGTCCAGCCATTATTTTCCCCCAGGTCTTGGATTAACCAGAGCACAGCTCTCCCAAGGGACAAGGGCGATATTAGCATATCAATTCCCCACCTGAAGTATCAGCCATTATCTCCTGCCACTGTGTGGGAGGGTCTCAGGCAGGTCTCCTTATCACTGAAAACCTGTGACCAGGGAATTCCTTTTGTCCTTGGAAAACCCCTTTTGAGACAAAGCTTTAAAAGATCCCCACACCCCCCAAGTCCGGGTCCTTTCTATCTCAGTCCCCTCCCCTCACTAGGACAGGAGTCTCCTTCCTCAACTTTTCTAAAAAATCTTGTGTCTGCACAAAAATTCTTTCCTGCGAGACAAGAACTGAGGTTGCTGCCATATTCGGGGTCAAAAACCCTACAAAAAAACCAACACGGATCTTCGGATCTCCTAGTCTGCGATAAGGACCTTGGTACAGTTTGGGGAATAGAAATAAAGACACCCCAATAGTCCTTCAGAACCCTAAAACTGGAGGGGCTGGTGGGGGAAGTAGTGTAAGTCTGTAAAGAATACATGAAGAGCTTCCAGGACGCGAGAATGTAAGCCTAATGAGTTCGGCTCAGGGGACTGCACTGTGGCCCAGATTAAACTGCCCAAAATGCCAGCATCCCATAATGAGTGACAGTTCAAATGCCGGCTGCTCTGCTTCCCAACCAGCTCCCGTTAATGTGCCCAAGAAGGCAGCAGAGGACGGCCCACGGAACTGAGACTCAGACGGAGTTGGAGATTCTGCCTTCGACCTAGGCCAGCCATGTACCGGTCAACTAAAAAAAAAGAAAATTTCAGTTCCAGAAGCCAGCCCATGTGGGTGCCAGTTTGAATCCCAGCAGTTCCACTTCTGATCTAGCTCCCTGCTTGTGGGCTGGGAAGGCTCTGCACCCACGTGGGAGACCCGGAACAAACCCCTGGCTCCTGGCTTCAGACTGGCGGCCACTTGGGGAATGATCTTTCTGTAAATCTGCCTTCCAATGAAAAAAAAAATCTCAAAAACAACAACAAAAAGCAACCTGAGGGAGCTAAACTGCTCATCCAACAACTGCTGGGTGAGTGCTTTACAGACCCCAGCACCCCCTCTCTGGGTCCGGGGGCGGCTCAGGTCCAAGGACGCAGGTGGCCGGCCGCGCGCGACGGGGGACACGAGGCGAGCCGGGCGACCCCTCCGCGGGACGCGCGACCCCTCCGCGGGACGCGCCCCGCTCTGCCCGGTGCCCCGCGGGCCTAGCGGCCAACAGCCACGTGCAGGCCTGAGATCGGGGCTCAGGCTTCACCGTGACCTTGGACCAGCCCCGCTCCTTCCAGAACCTCGTTCCCTCAGCTACCAAACGGAAATGGCCAGCCCGCGGCCCGGTCGGCGCCCCGAGCGCGCCGCACCCCGGTGAGGCCGCGCTGGCCATAGGGGCGGGGCGCAGGGGACCCCGGGACCCGCGTGCCTCGGTCTCCGTACCGCGGTAGCCCGTTCTCCCGACCCACCTTCCTGACGGCAGTACGCCATGGCTGCACCCCGGCGACTTCGTACGAGTGGCGGCGGCGGTCACGCCGTGACCTCCTGGTGCTCCGGCGGGGCAGGCAGCGGCGAGGCCCGCGCAGAACCGCCCCCTCCAGGCCTGCCCGCCGCGCGCCTGCCTCGGCGGCCTCTCCGCGCAGGCCTGGCTCGCCTCGGCCAGAAACTACATTTCCCAAGAGCCTGAGCGGCGTCCCCCCCCCCGCCCGTGGTGAGGACTACATTTCCCAGAAAGCCGTTGCAGTGCGCAAACGTAAGCGAGTCTCGCGCGGTTTGCAAAATGCCCGTCCCCTGGACTACATATCCCAGGAGAGCTTTGCGGCGCGCGCAGGCGTAGAGAAGCTGGAGTTCCTTGGGGCGGGGACCGCGAAGTGAGTCCCTCCTGATCCCTGGATCCACGCGGATTGTCTCAGCTGGAGGGCGCAGAAGAAGCCGGGACACTGTGCACTGGGATCGCCCACGCGAACAGAGCTGCACGGGGACAGCGAGTCGGGCTCAGAATGGCGGCGAACGTGAGTGCCTCCCGGTCGGCCGGGCCACACCCAGGGTCCCCCCATCGTCCATCCCCTCTTTCCCGCGGTCCGCCGGGTGTGCTGGGCAGTCCGAGCCTCCCGGCGGCCCGCGGATGCGCAGTCGCTCTCAGCCGGTCAGTGTCCGTCCCGTCTTGGTCCGTGGCCCATCCCCGACCGTCCGTCTCTGGGGAGGCAACCGCGGGAGGTGTCGCTCCCACCTCGGGATCCCCTGGTGCGCGGTGCTGCCTGCGTCCTCGGGGACCCGGGCGCCAGATGCGGCCTCCGACCACCGGATCCCGCCAGCGGGAGCTGTCCAGCGAGGGACCGCCCTGGCTCCCCGCCCTAGGAGCTGTGATGCCAGAGGCCCCGATTGGGGGGTGGTCCTTCTGGGCTGAGGGCCTTGCCTGCCTGCAGCCGGCCTTTCTCGGGGCGTTTTCATGCGCCTCCTACCAGGGTGTGGGGTGTGGGAGTAGCTGGTGACTCATCCCCATCCTAGGCTCCCGGAGCCAGCTGGAGCACCGTGTCAGTGCAGACACACCCTCCCTGGCCTGCTGCGTCCTGGTCCTGTTAGCGGGCTCCTCCCCTGTCCCCAGAAGTGCTCAGGGAAACCAGGGTTTGTGAGGCTCTGAGGGGCCTCCTGTCCCAGCGGCTGGCCTCCTGCCTGCCACTATCGTTGCCATCTGTCTTACAGATGGGAAATTTTCCCAGCAAGGAAGGGACCTGCCCAGGGTCTCACAACCGCCCTGGCACACACTTGCGCATGGGAAGATCTGAAAGAGAGACCTGGGCAGATCCACTGGCTTCCGCTGGGTAGCCAGGTGGCCCTGCTCTCGCTGCAATCGTTTTTCCTGTGTGTCGCCGGCTGCCCAGGTGAAGGGAGACTGCTGTGCACGCCGCCTGGTTCACGGGGCGGGAACAGAAAGCTCTCCTCACAGCCTAGTGCACCGAGCCCTGGGCAGCCGAGCCAGGTCTGCTAGCTCGTCCCTCAGCAAGAATGGGATGCACTGGGTGCCTGTTGATTTCCCTCGAGCTGAGTTCAGCCGGGGGCCACGGGCAGAAGGGAGATCCGGAGAGGGGGTGCAGCAGGCAGGGGACACACCAGGACAGGAACTGCCTCCTAACGATGGTGTGGGTTCTGGGTCCGTGTTATAAGGGAATGACAGGCTCAGGGCAGCAGTGACTCACCCAGGTGTACCCGGCAGGTGGCTGGTGAAGCTGGGCTCCCGAGGTCTCCATGTTTTAAGGCCTGTGTGACAAGCTGTGTTGCCACCTCTTCATCTTCTGAGCCCAGAGAGTGGGCTGGAGAGGGGGTTGCTCTGGGAACACCTTCTTCAGATTTCTCCTCGGGAAAGCTTGCTGGGTGTATCTGGCACACCCCATCCCTCCCCTGAGGGACCCTCTGGGCCTCCCTTCCTTCTCATCAAGCCTGTCTCGAAAGGGAGGCCCTGGCTGAGGGCACGCCTCCTTTTTCTGTGTAGCCTGCAGCTCCCCCTCACACAGCAGTCCCAGCTGTGAGGCACCAAACGTGGGCCGAGGGGTAGCAGAATCCCAACTCCACCTCTAAAGGGCTGTGGGATCCAGGCGGGCACCACAGCCACTGGTCCTCGATTGTGCTCACCTGTGGAATGGGGCCATGTAAGCAACCCTCCCCAGCTCTGGCCCGTGGTTGGCCTGCAATCGCTGGCATGCCTGTGGCATGGTAGCTATGATGGCTGGTGGCCAGCAACCTGCCTGCCTTGATTGACAACTGTATCACATCCCATGATCCCGAAAGTCAGGACCATTTCTGGGTGCGGTGGGCGCATGTGGTTACAGGCAGGCCTGGACTGGGGTGTTCACACTGTCTGATCTGAATCTCTCTTCCAACTCCCCAGCCCCAGGACAGGGCCTGCCTTACCTGCCACTTGCGTGGGAACTATTTTACAATTCTGTGCCTTTTCTCAGCTCACCCACAGCCTTGGTGCCCGCCCTCATCAGGCATGGAGATGTCTCACAACCTCCCTGCTAGCGAGCTCCCACAGGCCCCTGCTAGGCACCCAGTGCTCAGGGCCTGATTCCCGTCACAGCCCAGGCACTGGATTATTCTACCCATCTTACTGATGAGCAAATGGGGAGCCAGAGCAAGGGCCCCTGGCCAGTGTATGGCAGAGTGTGCCCTGGATGGCAGCAGCCATCTTCACCAGCAGGGGACACGGGAGAGAGGTGCCCAGTGCCAGGAGTGAGCTCTGGGCTGTGCTGTGACTGGCTGGACCGAGTCCCGCATGCTGCCCTGCAGTAGCAGCCTACTGGGGACTTGCCCAGGCATGCCTGGGAGCCGTGTGCCTTCCCAGCCGGGCAGAGGGCATTTATTCCCCAGAGGCACCCCCTGCTGCCACACCACTTCTCACCCAGTACCCCCGCGAGCAGGCCTTCCCCTCTTTAGGATCACACTCACAGGCGCCTCCTCCAGGGAGCCTGCCATGATACCTCTGCTGGAGCACTGGCCTGCCTGTCTCAACTCAGCATGACCACCCAGTGTTGTGCACCCTCAAGTCTGTGAGGCCCCCTCCAATCCCTCCGGGCCCCCTGCAGCTTCCAGAAACTCAGCCCCTGTTTGTCACATTTCAAAAGGAACATCTCTAACAAGCTTTATGTAAAATAGTCCAGCAGTCTCTTAAAAAATTAAAACCTGATGGTCTGGGCCTCGTGGCTCAGTGGTTTAAGTCACTGCCAGGAACACTCACCAAGGAGCATCCACTCCCAAACCAGCTGCCCCCTAACGCATCCTAGGAGGCCCAGGTACCCATCCCCTGGGCCCCTGCCACCCATCCAGGACACCTAGCTGGAGAGCCACGCTCCTGGATCTTCTATCGACCTTTCATGTAGATGGAAAATAGATGCCTTAAAAAACATTTGAAGTTACACAAGGAGTAAGTTGAAGTGTGGCTTGGGACACCCACGTGCCCCGCAGGTCTGAGATCTCCAGCACATGTGGAAAGTCAAGTATCTGAGCCCCCGTCACCCAGAGGCCCAGATGACGTTCCTGGTCCTAACTTCCACCCCAGCTGGTGCAGCCATCGTGGGAGTGAACCAGCAGATGGAAGATACCTGTCTCTCCCTCCCCATCTCTCTGCCCTTCAAACAAAACCAAAAATTAAAACATTAAAATTATCTTTTAAAAGTTGAGCATGCATCTTTGCTCTGACCCAGAAGCCTTGCTCCCTCGGTAGTGGTAGGGGACTGATGCCCACACCCCCTCAGACAGCAAAGTCATTTACCAAAACCCGTCAGGCTGCTTGCTTCCCGTCTGAACACGCGCAGTGCATGTACCTGAAGCTCACTAAAAGCTGGGCAGAGTCAGTGCCCTCTGGAAGCCGGTCTGTTTGGGGTGTCTCCACACAGTACTCCAGCACGGGTCCCAGGAAGGTGCACACCAAAACGACGACTGCCGAGCAGCCGGGCTTCCTGGAGCGGCTGAGCGAGACCTCCGGGGGCATGTTTGTGGGGCTCACCACCTTCCTGCTCTCCTTCTACCTGATTTTCACCAACGAGGTACCACGTTTGGGGCCCCTGTCGGGAGGGAGCCCTCCCTGCTGTGTCCAGGCAGAGGCCCGGCTGGCGCGGAGGGCCCTGGGTTTCTGAGGTCGGAGTGTTGCAGAACTCAGAAATCTTCCTGTTGGGATCCTCCAGCACCAAGTTAGCAGAAAGGCGAATGGACCAGAAGCCCAGGGGTAGCGCCACCTTCAGGCCCGGATAGATGCACGCATTCGTGCTGGGTCCCCAGCAGTCCCTTCCTGTGTCCTTGGCCCCGGGGTCCTCTGTTGTGGGGTTTCTCTTGGCAGGCCCTGCCTTGTGTGGCAGCCATGGCCACAACACCTCCAGGCTGACATCCAAGCAGTGGGCAGTCAGGAAAAAAGAGGACTCGTCTCCTCCCAAAGCCAGTTAGCATACTTGCCAGGCCTCTCTGCCCCTTGGGGAGAAGTCCTGGTTGATGAGGATTTGGTCAGCAGACAGGCTAGCCTCGGTGAAGAATGTGGACAAAGAGGGGATGAGAAGCAGGTCACTGTGAAGGGAAGGAAGCAGCGGGCAGAAATGCCAGCCCTTCCCACCTGCGGACAGCGCTGCCATGGCAGAGGGCAGGTGGTTTCACAGAATCTCAGGGCTCCCCGGGGCCCCCTGCTGGCCTGTTGCTGAGTGGCAATACAACCGCGGGGAGCCCCAGTGCTGAAGCGCTCGCTCGTCCTCCACACCCAGGGGCGCGCCCTGAAGACAGCGACCACATTAGCAGAGGGGCTGTCGCTTGTGGTCACCCCTGAGAGCATCCACACTGTGGCGCCGGAGAACGAAGGGAGGCTGGTGCACATCATCGGGGCCCTGCGAACGTCCAAGGTGAGCTGGGCAGCTGGCTGGGACTTGCTGGGTGACTGGTGTGTCTCCCACCCCCAGCGCCACCACCTGGCAGCCCTTCCTCCGCCTTGGGTCCTCTGTAACACGGGCACAGCCATAGCCGCCCTTCCTCTGCCTTGGGTCCTCTGTAACGCAGGGACAGTGATGGTAGCAAACTCACAGCTGGTTAGGAAGATGTGAGATGAGGTTGCTAACCTTTTAGCATAGTGCCTGGCATGTGGTCTGAACTGCACCTATGGGGCCCCTAATGATGTTGCTTGGCCAGGTCACACCAGCATCCTGTTGGTAGCCCATGCCATTGGACAGTGCAGCCCAAGCATGAAGTAGTTAGGACTTGGACCAGGCACTTCTTCCACTTTTCCACATGACCCACCTGCAGAGCCCTCCATTCTCACCCTGTCACTCTTTTCCAGCCCAGCTTCCCCAAGCCAGGCAAACTGAGCTGGAAGTCTTTGCCTGATGTATTCTGGTGTCCGATTCCTCTACAGCTGTTGTCTGACCCAAACTATGGGGTCCACCTTCCGGCTGTGAAGCTGCGGAGGCACGTGGAGATGTACCAGTGGGTGGAGAGTGAGGAGTCCAGGTGAGAGCCGGCGGCGAGGACCACCTGCAGGGCTCAGTTCGACACCTCAGACATGCAAGTGGAAAATCCTTCCAGAAGAAAAGGGTCAAGCTGTCCTCCAGCGAGTGGCCAGTGACCCAGTATCTGGAGGTGGAGAAAACCAGTGCAGAGTGGCTCAGGGGAGACGGGGTGTCTGCCTCCCTCCTGTGAGAAGGCCTGGCGTGCGCACGCTTGAGGAATGAGCTGTTAGGGTCTTGTGTCCCCCGCCGCAGTCTCTATGTGCAGCTTCTCTTGGTTCTCCATTTTCCCTCCCACAGGCAAGCAGAGCTGGCCTCCTGGCTCACAGCCCACCTCTTCTACCAGGGCAGGCTTGTGGCACCCAGAGCCAGGGGTGGGCTTGGCCGCAGCTGAGCCACTGAGTGAGCTGTGGGGAAGCTGGAGGAGCCAGGAGAAGCGCAGCACTGGGGCCTGGAGTAGAGAAGCAGCCTGCCCTTCATCCCAGAGGGCAGAGCTGTGCCCTCAGTGTGAGCCAGAGGCGGTGGATGCCAGCCATGGATGACAGTGGCAGGTGTTGTGGCACTGTAGGTTAAGCTACTACTTTGTAGTGCCTTATCAGATGCTTCTGGTGGCACATCAGAGTGCCAGCTGCTCTGCTGATCCGGCTTCCTAGAAGACGGCCCTAGAGCTTGGGCCCTTGGCACTCGCGAGAAACCAGGATGGGGCTCCTGGCTTTGGGTAGGTCTAGTTCTGGCTGATGTAGCCACTGGGGAATGAAATGGCAGTGAAAGAGAGCTCTCTCCCTCTATCTGCCTTTTAATTAAATGTTTCAAAAAATCACCTTATTGCAGTCAAGGCCTTCAGAGACAGGCTGACTGTGTCAGGGTGAGCATCTGGCTCTGGGCTTGTGCTCTGTTTGGGGTGTTAGTGCTGGATGCTGAGTACTTCTGCCTGGAGCTGCTCAGTCACTGGGCTGCCCAAGGGCTGGGCTGACTGATGCCCCGGACTCTGTCTGCAGGGAGTATACCGAGGACGGGCAGGTGAAGAAGGAGACAAGGTATTCCTACAGTGAGTACTGGGCCCCACCCCACATGCCCGTGCACTCGTGGGGCAGGACGGGGCTGTGGCTGGAGCCACGGGGAGGTGCCAGGTCCCGGGGCCTGCTTGGTCATGGGCTTGGGGCCAGGGGCCTCTGCCATGCGGCCACTCTTACCTGCCTTCTCCCTCTCCTGAGCAGATACCGAGTGGAGGTCAGAAATTGTCAACAGCAAGAACTTTGACCGTGAGATTGGCCACAAGAATCCCAGGTGAGCAGAAGCCAACGGTGCCTGCTGCTGCCGGGTCTGCAGCCCCAGGTCCTTCAGCTGAGTTGGGCTTGAGTTGAATCTGCAAAAGGGGGATGTGGTTTTGAGGCCTGCCTGTGACCCCAGACAAGCTCCCCTCAAGCAAGCCAGCAGTGTCAGCCACACCAGGCAGTGTTTGCTCACACTTAGCTAAGTGGGAGGTGGGGGAGCTCAGGAGGTGGGCTGAGCAGCATGGGCTGCAGATGTAACACACAGGGCAGGAATATGGCCACAGAGAGCCATGGCCAAGGGCTCAGGTGCCACCTGGGGTGTGAGATCAGTGAAGGCAGAGTCCACAGATCTGGGGGACGGCTGGTGGGCAGTGTGGGACAGCTGGCAACGGTCTGGGGATGCTCTGGGGACCAGGATACAGGGTGAGAGTGCTCTACCCAGGGCAGGATATGGGGCCCCCAAGAGTGGTACAGACAAGATATCTGCCAGGCCTGAGCCTGGGAGCTGCCCAGCTCAGACAGCCCATAGGGAACTGTGCAGCTGCCACCCTGGTGCCCCCTGATGACTGCCTCCCTTCCCCCACAGCGCAATGGCAGTGGAGTCATTCACAGCAACTGCCCCCTTTGTCCAGATTGGCAGGTTTTTCCTCTCGGCAGGTATGTCTCAGGCCTCCAGGTGAGCTAGCGCCCCGTGGGGCCCAGCAGGATAGAACCAGCACAGCATCAGAACCCCTTTCCCAGCATCACCCTCTGGGCGGGGGTAGGAGGGGAGAGTTGGCTGTGGTAAAGGCAAAGCCCCAGCAGGCAAGGACTGGGCGAAGACTCCACAGCTGCCCCAGGTTGATGCGGACCCTGTGGCAGCTGCCCCCAGGCTCCAGCCCTGAGCAGGGAGGAGGGCCCAAGGCTTAAGGTGGCATCGTTTGCCACACCAACCTCGGGCTCAGTCCTAGACAGGAGCCAGGGAGGGGAAGATATGTCGGTCCCAGGAGTGCTGGGAGGAAGGAGGCTGGGATTGCCAGGGCTTGGCCTGCATTCTCACGTCTGCTCTGTGGGACCTCAGGCCCAGCTTGCACACATGATCCAAGGTAAACCGCCCACTTGGTGGGACAGGCACGGGGAAGGGTTCTGTGCAGGCTGTGGGGGCTGTGTAGCTGAGGGCTTTGCAGGTGGAGTTCGTCAGATTTATCAAGGCTTCTACACCCCGCTCCCCACAGGCCTCATCGACAAAGTGGACAACTTTAAGCCCCTGAGCCTGGCCAAGCTGGAGGACCCGCATGTGGACATCATCCGCCGAGGAGACTACTTCTACCACAGCGAGAACCCCAAGTACCCAGAGGTACCCACAGAGACCCGGGCTCCTCGGCTGGCGTGGACCAGCCCCGAGAGCCACGCCTCTGCAAGTGACCAGGCTGGGTAGGGACGAGCCTGAGTGCCAGGTGCTTGACAGCCTCATGGCCATGGGTCCCAGCTGACCACTCTCCTCCCCCTTCTACCCCTCAGGTGGGAGACCTGCGCGTCTACTTCTCCTACGCAGGACTGAGCAGTGATGACGCTGACCTAGGCCCTGCCCATGTGGTAATGTGGCTTCCTCTGGGGCAGACCTGAGTCAGGGCTTCGGGACCCCTGACTAGTGTCACAGTGTACTGGGCCTTCCCTCACACTGGCACATTCTACTGGATCTCGAAGGATCTCCTGGTTGTGCCCCATGAGGGATGTGCCAGTACAGCCCTGCCTGCAGCCCTTGATCTCTAATCTGCAAATATTCCGGGAGACGGAGCCCCAAATGCCTCCAATAACCTAGGAGAGGGAAAAGGCGCCTGGATCCAGGACTTGGCCCGGTGTACCCAGGGCCATGTGGCCCAGCCAGGCCCTGTCCTCAGAGAGCCCTCAGCCCAGGAGGGGAGCCCTGTCTGGCCATGAGCAGCCCTGCCCTGCCACCTGCTCCTGCCCAGAGCCCTCCAGAAGCATTGAGTGAGCAGTTCTCTCACACCAGTCCAAAGCGGGCACACCCCAGGTGGTCTGAGATGGCCCAGGGTCTCTCCACTTGTTCCCTAGTTGGCACAGGGTCCCAGGAGGGTGGGTGTGGGCCTCACTTTGTACCAGCCCCCTCACATGTTTAACATGGAATTCTTTGACCAGGTCACTGTGATTGCCCGGCAGCGGGGTGACCAGCTGGTGCCCTACTCCACCAAGTCCGGGGACACCTTGCTGCTGCTGCACCACGGGGACTTCTCCGCAGAGGTGAGTGCTGCTGGCCTGGCTGCATGGCGGAGGGACAGCTGTGTCCTTCCCTCCTGCCGTCCACTGCCAGAGGTGAGAATGCAGTGAGACAAGAAGAAATATAGGAATGGCCACTTGCGCATGGGTGTAGGGCCACACCAGGCACTGAACGTGGAACAGAGCAGCACAGACCAGGGGACAAAGGGATGCACCCAGGACATGCAGGTGGCCTGAGTGAGCAAGCATCAGGAGAGGAAGTCAGGTTCCACCGTGGCAGGCAAGACCTCTGGCAGGTGACATTTGTGCTGAGACCCCCCCACCCCACATGAAGGGGAGGGCTCAACCCTGGAAGAATTGGGTCAGGCTGAGGTCAGACAAGGGCAGCCAAGTTGAGAAGCAAAGGGTGTTCACCTCATCAGGGCCACTCAGAGTGCTGTGTGGCCGCAGCGCAGGGGAAGGGAAGGGCTGGGGCCAGGAGGCTGCCCCGTGGAGGAGGGAACAGTAAGGTCGAGTCACTGTTAAAGAGCGATGGGAGTGCCCCAGGACCAAGCATGGGCAAAGCGCTCCGACACGGGTCCCTGAGCCATGCGGGCTTCCCTACCTGTCTCCACATGCAGACAGGTCACGCCTCACCGTGTCCGAGGGAATGGTGCAGAGAGGCACTGGCTCACTCAGTCCATACCTTCAGAGCTGGCTTCTCCAGGCAGGATCCCACCCCTGCAGCCAGAACACTGCATGGAGGGACATCCCGCCTGTGTTGTGCCTGATCTGGGCTGTTGCTGCACAGATACAGGACACTGAGCAGGGTCAGGCATTGACTGTGCCCTTTGGTTTCCCATAGCATCCCAGTTCACACCCACTCTCCCAGGACTTGTACCTATCCGAGCCTGGGTGTGGTCAGGCTATTGCCTAGGAGCCCTGGTACCAAGCTCAGGGCTGGCAGCCAACTCCCAGCCTGGTGGGCCATGAGTCAGTCTTTCCCTCACAGCTGAGAGCTCCCGAGGGAGTTTCTAAAATTAGGAGGCTCTGCCCAGGCCTTGCTCCCCTTCCCGGTGCTCCTACCAGCCCCAGGCTTCCAGCCCCCTAGGCATGGAGTCCCAGGTCTCAGAGCTGCTGCTTAGCAACCCTGACCTCTGACCATCCCCCAACCCCACCTCAGCCTCTCCCAGCCCGACGTACTTGAGGCTTGAGGTGTCTGCCGTGTGGTGCTAGGGAGGCAGCCAGGACTCGGCGTGAGCCCAGCCTCGGCCCAGGCTCTCCTCCATCTGCCATGGGACCCCAAGCCACGGTCATCCTCTGAACCTGCTTTCACCCACAGAACAGAACCTGTCTGCCTGTAACATGGAAACTGTTTTAAAAATATTACTATCATCATCATCATGTCTACCCTGTTTGGTGACTTGATTGTTGTGAGAATTACTCATTCAACAAGATCTTATTGAACACCAGACGTCACAGACAGAGGCCCTGCTTGGGGTCTGAGCTACTGCCCAGGGTGACACACCATACATGTCACTTACCCTCATACCTGCTTCCTCATCTATAACACGGGGATAAGTGGTTTGGGGATTAAACACGTGGGACAGTGACAGCTAACTAGTAAAGGTTACCTATTGCTCTCAAGAAAAGGCGTTCCACATAGGAGCTGCCCAGGCATGACAGGGGCCAGACACATAAGCAGAGATGGGGCACAGCAGGTTAAGCCTCCATCTCTGGGGGCCCGGCCCAAGTCGTGGCTCTCTGTGCTCCAAATCCAGCTCCCTGCTAGTGCACCTGGGAGGCAGCAGACAATGGCCCACGTACTTGGGTTCCTGTCACCCACATGGGGGACATGGATGGCACTCTAGTCCAACAGTTGAAGATGGCTTCAACTGTTGAGGGCATTTGGTGGGTGAGTCAGTGGATAGAAGTTAGCCCTTTCTCTGTTCATCTTTCTCTGTCACTCAGCTTTTTAAAAAAAGAATGGATTAGACACCATGCAGGCAGAGCAAACCAGCCGGGCAAAGTCCAGAAGTGAGAGGACTCAGAGCTGGCCTCAGGCCAGGCTAGCTCTGAGAACACGATGGGGCTGAGGTAGGCGGCGGGGAGGCCGGTGAGGGACATGCGGGGACAGGGGAGTCGGTGGGGTCTGGCCCATCCCCAAACCTGCAGGAGATGTGACAACAGGGACACAGAGCTGACAGGCTTGTTGTGGCCTGGAAGGGGGTGGCAAGGGGAGGAGTGAGCCAAGTCCGCCCTGGTTTCGGCTTCTGCAGGTAACGCTGCTGAGATGGTGAGCAGTGGAGAGAAACAGGTTGGGCTGGAGGTACCAGTGTCGGTGCTGGGTGTGCCCAGATGTCCTGTAGAAATGCCAACCTGGGCATGGGAGTGTGGGGCTGTGCAGCTGCAAGGGGCATCAGAGTGTCTGCTCTAAATCTGAGTGCTGAAGCCCACAGAGGACATGCAGGGTGTCCAGACCAAGCAGGTGGACAGCAGCAGCTGAATGATTTCAGTACCTGGGCCAGGGACAGCTGTGGAGACGAAGGAGTTGCCCTGATGTCCAGGCTGAGCAGGTGGCACCCCAAGCACAGTGCCCAAGCAGGGAGGCAGTGACCCTGCAGTGTGTGGGGAGACTGGACTGACAGAGGTCTAGAAGGTGCCCATTGTGCCCGCTGACCTAAGCCTCACTCTGTGCTATGCCAGGCAGGCAGATGGGGACAGGGAGGGACACACTGCTCCCGGTCAGAAGTGGCCAACTGCTCCCGGTCAGCACAGCCCCTGCAGCACCTGCCTACAGGCCCAGACAGTAGTGGCCAGCTCAGGGTCCTGACCCATGTCCTTGCTCATCCCGCAGGAGGTGTTTCGTAGAGAACAGAAGAGCAACTCGTTGAAGACATGGGGCCTGCGGGCCGCTGGCTGGATGGCCATGTTCATGGGCCTCAACCTCATGACGCGGATCCTCTACACGCTGGGTGAGAACAGAGGGCTGGCAGGGAGGGGCTCCTGGCCGCCCTCTCAGCCCGGGGCTTCCCAGTGCTGCTCAGCTGCCAGCCTCCCCGCCTGGGGCGGAGCTCAGGCAGTCAGGCCCGTCTCTGGGAGATGAGCACATCGGGGCAGGCACGCATGAGGAACAGGCCTCCTGGGAAGCCGCTGTGCTCTCTGACCTTGGCTCCGCTGTGGAGGCGGCAGCTGCGGCTGGGTCAGAGCACTGGGTACTAGGCCGTTGCCTTTGCCGCCTCAGTGTCCCCTGCCTCCCTCCCACTACCTTCCCAAGCTTCAGGAAAGAGTAGGCAACAGGAAACTGAGGCACCTGCAGGCTTCTTTACTGTGGAACCCCAGCCACAGAGGGGCAGCCCTGGGCCCTGAGGGAGGATCCACAGGCCTGCTCACTTGGCTTGAGGTGGGCACCGGGGAGCCCCTCAGAGCCATGTGAGCCAGCTTGGTTCTGAGGGCCCAGCAAGATGCTGAAGGTGTGTATGGGAGGACAGGGTTTCTCAGGAATGTGGTGGCCCAGCTTGATCCTGCTGGGTTCCTGTCAAATGGCTCCATCTAATCCTGCGGGTGCCAACAGAAACCTACCCCCCTTACAAGCTGGGGAGAGCCAGGCCACAGCTCACCCCACTGTTGGAATTGGGAGTGCCACTTCCCTCCTTACATATGGCAAAGCTGAGGCCCAGGGTCCTCCGAGGCCTTCTTTGGACAGGTGCATGGGTTGAGAAAGACCAGCCTTATCTTGGGCATATTAGGGAGAGGTAGGGGCTTAAACGGAAACCCCACTTTGCTGTGGGACCATGGCCAGGCTCCCCTCTGGGGCCTCAGCCCTCCTTTTGTCTCAGGTGCCTTCTCCAGACCTGACCACCCACGATCCCAGCTCTGGCCATGCCAACCCTACGGACGACCCCGCAGTGTGGGTGGCATGTGTCGGGAAGCACACTCCCACCGCTCCGTCAGTAAAAACGGCCTGCTGCACTTGAGCAACTGCCTTGGCCCCAGGCCCTGAGGAGCACACCCTGAGCGGGATGGACAGACCCACCAGGCTTAGCACAATGGCTTGTTGAGTGCTGGTCCTGGGCCAACATGGGCCTAAGTGTAAATCCTGATTCTGGCACTTCCTAGCAGTAGGACTTAGGGCAAGTTTCTTAACTCCCTGAGCCTTGGTGACCTTAAGGTAGAATGGAGCAAGAATGGTGCCTGTGGGGTAGGTGTGAGGGTTTCCTGCAGTGGTGCACACTATGTCTGGCCCATGGGTGACACTCAGCAGCATAAACTTCCTACAGGAAGAGAGGGGCCACCTGCCAGAGAACAGAGCAGCAGAGGCCAAGAGGTGGCCTGTAGGACACCCTGCCGCTAGGCAGGCCCAGGGGCTTGCTCACACACCCAGAGGTTACCTTGGGCAGGGGGCCTCCTGAGAACCAAATGGAGTTCCCAGTAGAGATGAGCTGTGAAACGCCAGTCTGGACAGCCAGGAGCACAGCAGTTCCCCATGCATTTCACTAGACCTTGGACTCGGCAGCTGGGCCAACAGCCTGTGAGGTCCTTGAAGAGGAGGAAGCCAGGACTCAGGCCAACTGTTCCCTTTAGCTGCTACGCAGATCGGGACCCAAAATAACTGCTGATGTCTTACTGCACCAATGAACCAATACCCCTCCAGGGCCGAACCACAAAGTGGCACCCTCAGGAGGCTCTGCCTGCAGGACATGGTGTTTGCCAGGCTCAGCCTTCTGTTAGCCCCAGGTTCAGAGAGGCCAGGGGGCTCACATGGTGAGCCCAGCCTCACTGCCCCTGTGTGGGCTCCTCCTCTCCCTGCCCTCTCGCCACTTAGGACTGGGTTCCTTGCCTCCCACCACACTGAGTCCTCTCCCACTCAGAGAGCAGCAAGGGCCCTCGTGTGGCTAGCACAGGAACAGCTGCAGAGCCGGATCTCAAGAGCTCCTCACCTTTCTCTTCTCCACAGTGGACTGGTTTCCTGTCTTCCGGGACCTGGTCAACATTGGTCTCAAAGCCTTCGCCTTCTGCTTGGCCACCTCACTGACCCTGCTGACCGTGGCTGCCGGCTGGCTCTTCTACCGGCCTCTGTGGGCCCTTTTCCTTGGCTCCCTGGCCCTGGTGCCCATCATCATAGCCCGGACCCGTGTGCCTACCAAGAAGCTGGAGTGAGGCAGGACAGGCTCTGGCCTGTCTGACCTGCACGGGCCTCGGAACTCAGTCACCCATCTCCGACCTGGCCCCACGCCAGAACAGGTCTCAGCTTGGTTGCACCCCCAGTCCCTGCAAGGGCCAGCCTCGACAGCTCGGTGCCCATCGGTTCCCGCCTGCCCATGCTCTTGCCACTAAGCAGCTTGGGTGGGCGGAGCAGCCTGCAGGTGGCGCCCGACCAAGCATTCTTCTGCTTTTCACTTTCCTTGGGATGAGAGGGTGTGGTGGGCACATGTGCCACTTCCCTCCCCACCTTCCCCTTCCCTTCTGACAAGGGGGTGTGGCAGGTATGTATTCGACTTCACTCACTCCACAGTGACCTGTGGGGAGGGCTCAGCAGCTCACCCCACACCTGAGTTCAGGAGCCAAGTCTCTGCCATAGCTGTGGGCATCCACTTGCTGCACTGGCCTTTGCATGTTACCACCAGGCACTCCTGGGCTACCCAGGCAGAGTGGACATGTGCCCCACACAGCAGGGGCACCTGAACCAAGTCTGTGGACAGCACACTGAAGGTGGCACCGGGAGGCTTTGTACTCACCGTGGCCAGGTCCGACAGTCTCCTGTGTGCAGGCCTGTCCAGGGCCCTGTGAAGGCCTTCTCTGTTACCCCGTCACCTCTTCTTGTGCGCTGTTACCCTGGAGGGTTGTGTCTGAAATAAGATTTGAAAAAAAACAAAACTCTCCAGATGAAGAGCGTTTGGACTGTTACAGTAAACACCTTTTACCCTGAGAGCTGAAGCCCACGATGGCCAGTGTTGATGGGGTCATGGGCCCCTGGGATGCTGTGGGAAGCTCTGGCTAAAGTGTTAGTCTTTACTTGGAGTGATGGGAAACTCGCAGGGTGAAAACATTTTTGATCCTTGGCATCAGAACTTCCTGTTCACCTGGGCATGGCCCCGAGTTTCCAGTTAGCTGGAGGCTTCATGCTAAACAGGCTCTGTCCCAGTCATCCCCAGTGGGCCACAGGCCTGCGTGGGGCTTGCCATGGCTGCCTAGCACCTTTCCCCACGGCAGTGCCAACATGAGCATAGGCCCCAAGTGGCTGCTCCTGCGTGGCTTTTTGTTTCCTCCTAAATATTCCCATAATTCATTTTCCAAGTTTCCCAACTAACCTTAATACTAAGGATGAAGTGTGCCTTTATTCCATGCCCCAGTTGGGAGTGGGTACTTTCACGCCTGCGCTGGGTGAGAACTTCGGGGCTGGTGTCTCACTGTGCTGGGCTCAGCTGTAAAGTGACTGTTTGAAGCATAGCTGGCCTGAGATGACCTGGACTGGGGACTCACAGTATTCACTGCTTCGTAGTGAGCAGTTTCTCGCCATCTCCAACTCTAAGTGGACACTTGTAGATAAGTCTAATTAGAGGGTGGTTAAAGTCTTCGGGGCCTGCTTTGTGTAGTGTTTTTAATACGGATTTCAATGCTATTTTTAAGTGTTCTTAAAATACAAGAGTTTGCAAAAATCATCATGAAATTTGATTTGCCTTCGTATTTTTGATAAAAAATTTGGAATAAATTTCTAAGCATCTTTTGGTACAGGACCTTGTAACCACTTTGGTCTTGGTGTTTTGTATGGGAATTTTTTCCTGAGCCTCTACAAGAATTCAGCCACGGTGTTAAAAACTGGGTTCTAAGATGCCCGGTGGTTAACAACATGTTGTCGCTCCCTTTGCAGACAGCGACTCAGTACCCCAGCACTTAATAAAGCCTATTCTGTTCTGGCTTGAGTGAATGACTCATTCTTCACTCATCTTCAGAATGTGCCAGAAGCGGTGCGAGGGGCAGGAGCATGACGCAGCAGAGTGTGAGAGGCGTCACGAGTCTGGCTGGCACAGGGAGCCCAGTCCCCAGGCCCAGAGCTGCCACTGACCAGCTGCGTGACGCTGGGCAAGTGAAAGGTCGCGGCGCCCATTTCCTGACCCACAGGGAGCTGCAGGAGACACTCTGTGAGAGGCCTGACGCCTGCTCTCACTTCACGATGCCTCTTGTCCCTGACTCTCAAGTTCTCAAGTGTCCAAACCCCAGGAAACAGCTTGCTCACCTGGAAGGGGGGTTACTGAGCTAGGGCAGGAAGTGGCTGCAGTTTCCATAGCAACCTCAGCTGTTTCTCAACCAACACAGACATGCCAGGCTCTCGCCCTGTATGAGTCACTCCAAGTACTCTGTTGGATAATCTGACTGTTTTCACAGCTTCCTTCAGAGGTTCATAATGCCCGAGTTCCACTGAAATCCACCTGCCAAGCAGCCTCAGCATGCTACCATCACCATCATCCAGATGGTCTTAGCTGATGGAACATCTGAAAGAAAAAACTCCACAAAGCCAAGTCCTTTTAGATAAATGCTTTATTTTTTTTTTTCCAAAATGTTATAAAAGTTCTTTCCTGAGTATCTATGGTGTGTAAAGCTCTGTCAGTTTATCCAGCATTGAATGAGAATGTACTTTAACACTGATCTCACTCCTAATTTTGGCTCTGCAGACAGCAGATCCCAGCAGTGCCACCCACAGGGTGGCCTGCACTCCTCAATCACTCTCTCCCTGCAAAAAGGCAGCACTAGTGGCATCAGGAATGCGGATTCCTGTGGCAGAGGGGCCCCAGGTCAGCAGCAGCAGCAAGCACACAGGTATCTGACCAGAACAACGCGGAGAAAGGAGCGCTGTGTTCCTGGGGCACCACCCTCTGAGCCTTTCCGGAAGCCCTACAAAAAAGCCAACCACACTCCCCAAGTTGGGAGAACAAGGCCTGGGAGCAGGACAGTGCCCGCTGGGAAGTAGCCACAGCTCCAAGTGTGCCCGAACAGCCAATAGCTTGGAAGCTAGACCGTGGGTGACCGCAAAGAGGGCTAAGGCCCAGCCAGATGCACAGCGTGACCTCCACCCAGCTTCCTGGGCCCTGGCCCCTGGCTGCAGGGCCCAGTTTCTCCCTGCCTTTTCAAAAGAGGACCCCTCCACCAAGGCCTGGGCGTTCCTAGGGCAGGCACAGGACCTGCAGTGGCAGCGTGACGATGAGGTGGCCCTCATCTCAGGGCTTCTCAAAGGGAAACAGGTGGGAAGCCGCTGCTTTCCGGCCCCTTCTGCTCTTGGCGCCCTGGGGCTTCTGCTCTTCTTCAGCTGCTCGGTTCTGAGGCCAGGACGCAGCCAGGATCCTGGCCGCTTCTGCCTGAGCACTGGTCCCCTCCTCTTCATCAGACGAAAGGCCACCTCTGGCATCTGAGTGGGGAGCCACCACCTCGCTCTGGAGCAAGGAACAGCAGAAGGGTGCAGGCCCTGGTTGGTGGTCATGGACCACAGACTTCCACCCAGAGGCAAGAAGGCTGCCAACCACCTGCCCAGCTCACGCCTGCCCTTGGCCATGACCGGATGGAGAGGGGTGCTGTGTGAGACATTACAGCCTGAGGCGCACTCCCACACTCGAGAGCCCAGCACTTGAACACCCATGGGGTAACTAACCACAGCTGTGTGCTGTCCCCTCACTTCTGTACCAGACTGTGCTAGTTCAACTCCCAAAGCATCCCTGGCAGCACCCCAGAAGGCAGGGGGGTGGGGGAGCCTGAGGAAGGTTTGGCTGGACATGGGGACAGCATGTGGGTGGCAAGAAGCCAGTGTGGACATGAAGTCAGGCAGAGGAGCTCCCAGGAGGCACCCAGGAGGAGCAGGAAAGAAGCACCTTTCCAAGGCACAGGTGCTGTTTGTGGTGTGACAGCATCCCAGAGCACATCTTTGCTGTCTGACACGACACTGCCTGCACCACCTCACTGCCTCGGGGTCTGCCTGCACACCTGGGTCCATGGCCCAGCCAGGCATAGTGCGTGGCCACAAGAGCTGTACTGAGCAAGCACCCTGAGGCTGAGGGTGCTGTGGACCCTGAGAACCCAGGTGGCCAGGGCCTCCCTCTGGGGTGTTCAGCTGACACCAGATTCATAGCAGGCACTTTTGCTCAACGGGGAAGTGAAGGGTGGGTTGGGGCAGGGCTGAGGACCAGAGAAGATAGCTATAGTCAACTCCAGGAAAACAGAGGCAGGGTCCCAGCACTGGCATCTTTTCAAAGCTGTGGCCACATGCGCTGGCAGAGCATCTCAAGAGATGAAGCTCCAGGAGACCGACACCAGGCTGGCGGCCTGCGCCAAGGGCTCACTCACCTTGGCACCATAGCGCAGCCGTAGCCGCTCCCTGATGAGCAGTCCCTTGGTCAGCAGCTTCCAGTTCCCCAGAGCACGCTTCTCCTTTTTCTGCAGCGGGAGGGCGTGGGAAACACAGACCATTTCAAGGGAAACAGGAAGGCAGATACAGACAGGTGGGTCAGGTGGGACAAGTGACACCACTGCCCCATCACACCATGCCTGATTCTCAAACACCGGTCTGACTCAGAAAGGGGGACCCTGACAGCTGCCAGCTCTCTTGCAGATGCCTGACTATCACCTGCAGCGGAAGAGGCCATACAGGTCCCTGACCTCAGGCAACGCCTTTCCAGCCAGGGTCAAGTACACAGGGGGAGCTTCTGCAGGCAGGCAGTTGCTTGTACCCAGAGTCCCTTCCCTGCGGTCTGTGGGGGCCAGAAAGGCTGTTGGGCACAAGGGTGTGCCCCTTCCGTGCAGGGTGCACAGCAGCTGAGCTGGGGGAGACCCTCTGCAGCCATGGGCTGCTGCCAGCTTTCTGCGCCCCACCCGCAGACTCACCTCTTTGTCCTTCTTCTCAATGAGCGCCTGCTCATTCTCCCAGGCAGCCAGCAGCACGTCCTTGAACTCCTCGCAGACTATGTAACCATCAGTGCTGCAGGGATACCACACATGGCCTCCCTTGAGCTGGCCAAGCTGGGCCTCTCCTCCCACACTCTGTGAAAGTGGCCTCCCTGGGGAAAATGGGAGCCCCAACTTGAAGGGCCTGCTCCCCTCCCCTGGCAGCACCTGCCCTTCAGAGTTTGGTGGCCAGGCAGCTGCTGGGGCCAGGAGGCTGTGACCGTTCAGGAAGTGATGTATTGCAGCCTCTGGAGGCCATTTCATGGTGCTGCAGGTAAGTGTTAGGGCTGACTTCACAAATACAGCACAACCTCTCTGAAGGCAGACTCAGTCCCCAGGAGCCTCACCCCCATCCCTCCTGCAGCCCCCAGGGGAGGTCCCTCACGCACACAGGATGACAATAGCCTCCGTGGAAATCAAAGCCTGTAACAGCCGGGACACAGTCGATGTCGAGTTTACGGGCCACACGGTGCAGATTGGGCAGGTTCAGGTGGACACAGCCGATGGGCATCATGCTGGGCAGGAAGAGGTACACGTTTCCGAACTCATTCCGGGGTACCTGGGGAGGGGCCACACCATGACTCAGGTGGGGGAAACCCAAGCAGCCCAGCCCTTACCCCTCACGGCTGCCCTTACCTTCCCGTCCACGGCCACCGGGGGTTGGTATTCCTCGGTTTGCCAGCGGCCAAACAGGCCCAGGTCGTTTTGGTTATGCAGCTGGGGCTCGGCAAGCCGGGCTTTGCGGGCTCGGTTGGAAAAGCCTTTCACCATCTACCAGGAGGGGACAGCCCTGTCACAAGAGGCTGGCCGTCCTGGAGTGCTGACTCCACACCAGGTGCTGCTTCTGACCCAGCCCGCACCCACAGCCAATCACAAGCTGGCTGTGCTTTTTCACCTCGTTTACAGCTGTGCTGCCAGCCACCATCTACAGGGCACACAGCTGTGGCAGGTGTTAGCAACTAACCAATGGAAGTGAGGCCCAGTGTCATCACCACGCAGCAGGTGGGGAGTCCTGAGGGGTAGAGGACCCCTGCAGCCACCCTGCCCGCAGAGTACCCACACTCTCCTGTCCTACACTCTGGGAGGACACACAAAAGGCAGGCCACGGGTGGCAACACTTAGCCTGGCCCTGCTAAGATAATTTTTAAGTTGGGAACTTTGGCCCACAAATGGCCCTAGGAATAGCCAGATGACCCTTGGCAAAAAAAAAAAAAAAAGTGCCGAATCATATTCCGACGTAGCTGTCTGTCTCCAACACCTGTGCACCTCATGCATACCAGGGGCATGGGCAGCTCGCAGCACACTCCCCCACAGCCCAGCTCAGGCTGAGCTCTCCCTGGGCAGCTCAGTGCAGGCGGCGGCGCACAGCACTAGTGACGAAATGGCTGCACACACACACTGGACGAGTGGCACAAGCACAGGCTGCCGACTGGCATCTGGGCCTGGGCATACACATTCTCTCCAGGGCACAGGTTGGCAAGCCCCTTTGGAAAAGGGGTTGTGTCCAGCCGGGGTGCTGGGTTCCGACAGTCCCTGCCTGAGGAAGCCGGTCACTGAGCAATTGCTCACGTAAGTGCCATGAGTGTCACTCACAGAGCAGACCCAACGCTGAGTCCCGGGGACAGACAAGGGCCAGAACAGACATGGCCACAAGGAGCAGGATGAGAGATCAGAACAGAGGGGGAACAAAGCCCACTCCGAACATCAGGTTGAGGCTCTGAGGGTGCACAACAGAGTGGGCCAGGACAGGCCTGGGGCAAAGCAGACCTGTGTTGGGGCCTGGAAGCAGCCTCGTGGCTGGGGGTGGGCCCTGGACTGCAGGTGACAAGTAGTGGACCCCAGGCCTGCTCCATCGGGAATGCTAACACCCAAGCAGAAGAGGCTGAGGGAAGAGATAGGTTAGCAGCCATCAGAACAAGTGATGCACCTGAGGGGAGTTTGCAATTCTTCTAGAACTGGCTGAGGTCAATACTGACAACCTGAAATGCACTTGTGGGCAAACAGCTGCCTGGGCGGGGCCTGCCGCTGCCGTGTCCACCTCGGCATCCACAGCTGACCCCACCCGAACAGGGCATCGAGGCTTGGCTGCAGAACCACTGGCACAGAACCCGGGGCATGGATTCTTGCCAGGCACCAGCCCAGACAGGCCAAGGGCAGAGCTACTGGCCCTGTGGTTCCTCTGCAGAAAAAAATGGGGCCACTGGGCAGGAAGGGTCCTCACTCAGAAACGCACTCAGCGCCGCACAGTGGGAAAGGTGAGAAATACAAGACTGTTCGGCTCCCGCGGCTCTGTGGCCAAAACACTGGAGGAGTGCTGGAATTTTCTTACTCTGACATGAACCGAGACAAAGGTATGGCCTGGGGAGAAGACATTCTGATGGAGTATGTGGAGACCCCAAGGAACTGCACCCCTGGAACAAATGGCCTTTGCTGGTTTTAGAGGAGTAAGAGATGTTATTAGACACTGGAACGGGACACATCTTCTCAGCACATCCTAGTGCCAGTCCCCACTGCCACCGAGCCGGACAGCTCCGACACGGCCGGTGCCGCGCAGTCAGGTGGAGCAAAGCCTGAGGGGTGGCCATCTCCGTTACACAGCAGGGCCTTGGCCACTTAGAACCCTCTGCCAGTTCCAGCCTGTAGCCTCCCAGCTCACACAGCAGCCCAAGACTTTCTTGTGTGTTTCAGACATGCTTATTAATTAATTCTTCCTTAATGAGAAACCATTTAAATGCCTGCCTCCTCCTCCAACCCTGCTCAGGCCAGAGCAGTGAGGCGTTTCCCAACTCCCGTACAGGGCATGCTCTGGGGAGCCCCAAGATCAGACCCCAGCTCCATTACCTTGTAGGGAACTTCTCCAAGCCTCACCACTCTCGCCTGCTTCAGCCACGTGTCCCTCGAGTGCAGGGTATGTACACAATCCCTACGGGCGACAAGGCGGGGAGAGGAGGGTGCAGTTCTCACACAGCCCCCTGCAGAACCAACCCAGGGCCCCTGCGGAACCAACCCAGGCCCCCTGCAGAACCAACCCAGGCCCCCTGCGGAACCAACACAGGGTCCCCCTGTGGAACCAACTCAGGGCCCCCTGCAGAACCAACCCAGGGCCCCTGCAGAACCAACACAGGGCCCCTGCAGAACCAACACAGGGCCCAGGCGGAACGAACCCAGCCCCCTGCAGAACCAACCCAGGCCCCCTGCGGAACCAACCCAGGCCCCCTGCGGAACCAACCCAGGCCCCCTGCGGAACCAACCCAGGGCCCCTGCGGAACCAACCCAGGCCCCCTGCAGAACCAACCCAGGCCCCCTGCGGAACCAACCCAGGGCCCCTGCGGAACCAACCCAGGGCCCCTGCGGAACCTAGGACCCCTTCTCCCCAAAGAACCCAGGAACCCTGTGGAATCCAGGCCCCCCTGCAGAAACCAGAGCCCCCTGTGGAACCCAGGCCTCCCCACAGAACCCAGAGCCCCACAACTACAGGAAAAGGAAGACTGCCAGCCTTGCGATTCTGTCCCCAGCCTCTGCCTGCCAAGGGTCTCCGAGGAGCTGCCTCTGGCTGGCAGATGGCTTGTCCTTGAGGGCAATGCCTGCACCACTCTGTTTGAGGTGTGCAGGTATAACCCCTTATGGTCCAGCGAGCAAAGCAGCACCTGCTTAGAGTCTGGCTGCTATCACCCTGAACTGGGGCAACGGAGGGAAGAGTGTCTAGAGCAAGGGTAGCGAACCCCAAGTGAGGCTCTGCAGAAACGAAGTGTAATAAGCTAATACACCATCATGGAATTCAGACCTGCACACGGGAAGCAGGTCAGGAAGTCATGGCGGCCTGCGATTGTGGCAAAGATCCAGACTGAGTGTTTATCCCACAGTCCTGCTCTCCGGCCAGCTCCTTTCCTGGCTAAGCCTTCTGCAGCAGGACGTGCCCATCTCTCCTTCAGCCTGCATCCTGACATGCTGCCCACAGGCAGACACTCCAACTCTCCTCCTGGTGCACACACCAGGCAGGGGGGCTGAGTTTCTGTACGGTACAATGGACACAAGGCCAATCTGTGCTACTTCCTGGTTGTGAGACCTGGACACGACGCTTGTCCATCCCTGAGCCTCAGCAGCTTCATCTCTGTAGGGGAGAACGAGCTGTCCTTCCCCCTGCCTGTCTCGCCTGGCTGCAAGGAGCACACCACCCTTCCACAGTGCCAGGGCTGTGCTTCTCTACTGAGCTCGAGAGCGCCATCTCGTGCTCCCTCTGGAGGTGAACACCTCTGACTGTGCTTCTCTGCTGAGCTCGAGAGCGCCATCTCGTGCTCCCCCTGGAGGTGAACACCTCTGACTGTGCTTCTCTGCTGAGCTCGAGAGCGCCATCTCGTGCTCCCTCTGGAGGTGAACACCTCTGACTGCTCAAGTCAGCATTTTCCAAAAGGAACTGGGAAGGCGGGGGTGAGAGCTGACAGGTAGAAAGGGCAGGAAAGAGCAGTGGGGTGGCCACAGTCCTCTCCCTCAATGTCACACCCATTAGAGTGCTTGTTATCAAAAAGCAAGAAATGACAAGTGCTGGCGAGGGTGTAGAGAAATCTAAGTGCTGTGAGTTGTTCATGGGAATGCAAAACGGGGGAGCTGCCAGATAAAGGCACCCACAAGGACCCACCCTTTGATCTTTTGACTCCCCTTCTCCGGAAGTGCCCCCAGAGAACAGAAAGCAGGCTGGCAAAGAGCCATGTGCACATCCACACTCACAGCAGCCGCTGCAGGAGCCGGAGGCTCCCACGGTCACTGACAAGCGAGGGAGAAGTCGGGAGCTCACAGCCCAGCCTCCCTAAGGCACGCGGCAGGAAGCCGAGGGAACAACGCCGAGCGGAAGATGCCAAGCACAGCGGTCTGTGAATACCACCCAGGGCCGACCACGCGAGCAGGGCTCAGCAGGTAGGGACAGAACACCCAGACAGTCCCAGACAGTTCCAGCAAGCAACTGTATGCTGTACTCAATGACAACCACTTCAACTGTCGGCAGCCTGTACTCAACAACCATCTCGAACGCTTCCTCCCTCACTGACAGGGTACCTGGCCACCATGCCAGCTCCCTCTTCCCCACTACGCTGCGTGCCCAGCTGAGGGCATGGAACCCCAGACCAGCCAAGCCGCGCCCCTGACCGAGGACCAGGAAGCACTGCCCAAGGTGGGGCCGGCCTGACATGAGCGGACAGGCGCTGACACGCGGGGCTCAGACCACTGCCCCAGGGCCCTTTCCCTCCACCTCCGTGATTTTTCTGTACCCTCTGCTACTTTCTTAAGAATATCCTGTTTATCAGTCGTGCATTTCAAGATCTTTAAAAACATTTATTTGCTTCCTATTGCTATTTCTCCAAAATTCTGGCTCCTCTTTTTGGTTTTCCCACTTAAACATCACATTTATCTTTCTGACCCAATGCAGTCTACATTTGTTTATTATTCTAGCCTGGGCCGATGGTGCGGTCTCACTGCGACATAACACACGCCATCTAACGGCTGCCACGTGCACAGCGGAGCAGACACCCCGCGCTGTGCAACCAGCACCATCTCACCCTACCTTCTCATGGATTAGGACCTGCACCCATCGAGACTCCCTCTCACTGTGACCAGCACGTTCGAATCCTTTATTCCTTTTTTCAACATACTTTCAACTTTGATTTAAGGGGTGTTTTTTTTTACTATCCTATCTTAAATTTGTTGTGTTTTGCTTTTTACCTTATTTTCCCAGAAGCATTTTCCTCTTGTCTTTCATTCCTGTTAACTCTTGCTCACCCTGCGCGCACACACACCAGCACACATGTGCACACACTGGCTCCTCACAGGAACTCTGTGACATGGCACGTCCACACCGCAGCCCAGCCCAGCAGCCCCTGGGCCGTGCTGCTGCCCCACGCACCTGGAGTACACAGCTTCCCCCCGACAGTAGCCCAGGATGGCGGCTGACTCGGGATAGATGGCCTGGAACTTCAGGAGATGCCGCTTGAGGGCGTACAGAGGGTGGTTCTTGTAGATGCCAATGGAAGTGGGCAGAGGTTGGTCTAAGTGCTTTGCCTGAAACTGCAAAGGCCAAACGTTGCTGAGCCATGATCCAGCCCGGCCAGGATGAGGTTGTGCCTCAGCCTGCTCTGCCTGCCGATGGTGCGAGGGTTCCTGAGCTGTGCTGGTAGCACTGACCACACAGTACCGAGCTGTGACACGCCAAGTCGCTGTGCGGCTACAGCAACCCGAGGGACACCTCTGAATGCCATCCCTGGGCACCTTCGTGGCCTGGGCACGCAGTGCTCTGTAGGATCCTCAAGCAGAGCAGCACACAGCCCTGCAGGCAGCAGGCAGCAGCTCAGAGCAACAGCGCTGCACGCGTGGCCTCACAGACCCAGTCCCCTGGCCCAGGGACGAGCAGCCGCACCTGCCGCTCCAATGAACCTGACAGGTCCTCCGTGCACTTGCCCAAGGACTCCTTCCTCAGCAGCCAGCCTAGCGGGTGCTGCCTCTGCTTCCTGTGCACCTGCACTCCGAAGCTTTCCCGACAGATCCGTAAGCACTGGCCATGGGGAATGGGCAAGGACACAGAGGTCGCACCACAGCTCCTGCTTCCACTGAGACCCAGCCTCGGCACCACCCCTACTCACCCAGCAGCCCTTAACACAGAGGAGGGCACTGCGATGCCGAGGCTGACCCAGCCCCGCTGTCCCCACCCTGGGTGACTGTAGACCAGCCTCTGGCCAACGTGGGCATACTCCCACATCCAGCTGCCACTGCTGCCCCTTCCCACAAGCAGCTGTGTCCCTGTGCCCAGGGTCAGGGCAGATTCTAAGGAGACATGGCTGAGGGAACTTGTTTCCCCTGCTTCTCAACATGGCCCTCCCTCCAGGACCCTTCCTCCCCAGGGACCACCTAGCCGAGTGAAGGAGGCACAGCATGGGCGTTACTCCTTCTCTGGCTCAGTGTGTTTTGACTTGGATGGATTATTTTTAAGCCTCTAAACTCAGCAGACAGTAACTAGAAATATCAAAGCTTCAATACCTGGGATTGGCTATCTCGTCAATCTCCCATCTCTGCAGCTTTCTGCTGGCTGAACTAAGGCCTTGATAAACCCAGCTGTGACAACGACGTGAGCTCTCGCACTGAACGTCCCCAATGTGCTGCCGGGACTACATAGGGTTCTTCATAAATACAGTTTGTGGAAAACATAGTTACAAAAATTTCATGGAAAAATGTGAATTATGAAAACATTTTGCGTGGATTTAAAACTTTGCATTAAAACTAAATCTGCATTTTAATTCCATTTTTCCATAAACTTTTTGAAGTACTAAAGGGCAGGGCTAGAAAATGGGAGTCGCTTAATAACCCACTCATCCCTCTGAGCCCCTGGCAGCCAAGGCCTCACCTCGGAGTCTTCTTTCTTTTCCCTTTCCAGCAGCGGGCTCCGGTACGGTCTCAAGGTCTCAGCCCACCATTCAGCATCCACGCGACACTTGCGGGTCGCTGTCATCCAGGCCGGGTCATACCTCTGGGTGACATCCCGGGCCCAGCCCTCATTGTCGATGCCCACAACATAGCTGAGGGGCTTGGTGGCGAACCTGTAGCAGGTCAGAGGCTGGCCCACCACCCCATGCACACAGTCCACACAGACCCACTTGGCCTCCTGCTCACAAAACACCTCCAGCCACTGGTCTACACCGGCTAATGGCCCTCTCTCCTTCCCCTTGGTGTCACCGGATGTCTTCCTGCTGCCAGTGCCACCTGAAGAGCTTGGCGATTCCCCTGGGAGGGCTGGGTGCTTGCGGCGGCCTTCACCTTGGGTCCTGGCACCAGGCTTGGGTCTGGCCTTTGCTCTCTGAGGAGCCAGGGCCTTCCGCGACCTTGTGCGGCCAGGTCCAGAACTGTCATCAGAGGGCTGCTGGCTTTCTCCACTGGAGGGCTCAAAGTCAGAGCCACTGCTGGACCCGTCACTTCCGCTGTCCTCCTTATATGACACCCGCGAGGCCACACGCCTCCGCCGGCCCTGTGGCTTCCTCCGGCCACCCTGCTTTGGCTGCTCCTGGCTGCCCACTTCCTCCTCACTGGAGGAGGTCTCCTGGCGCTTCCTGCGGCCTGCAGCCACCTTGCCCCTCTTCCCTTTGGTGCCAGGCTTGCTGGGGCCTTTCAAAGAGGCCTCCTCCGCTGCGGCTGTTGTGTTGGTCCTCAGCTGGCTGCTGGTTTCTGGAGTCGGGCTGGAAGTTTCTGTGGCTCCCCCAGGGCCTTCTGTGGACCTCTTCCTGGAAGATTTACTTCCCTAGACAAAGCAAGACATCCTGCTGTGACTGAGGAGGGTTAGGACCTGGGCTGGAGCAGGAGGACGCCCAGTGGTGCTCACTGGTCCCCCACAGGCTCGCAGGAAAGTCCCGCCTGACCCCAGGAGCTCCTGATACGGCCTGTCCCGGCAGGCTCTGCACAGCTCATGGAGCATGCACGTCACAAAAAATTGCACTGGGTTTCAAAACTTTAAAGAGCTAAAATAAATTTGCCTTTGAATTTTACTTTCCCGTGAACTTTTTGAATTATTTTTGAAAATATTCACTTTATAGGGCTGAGACTAGAGCAAGAGAATAAGAAACAAAGCTGGGTGCAAATCCCAGGTGTGTCACTGCTGGTTCTTTAATTTGCGTAAATTATTTTGCCCTTAAATCTCAGTTTCCTTAGTCCTAGTAACCACTTTGCACATAAACATTCTACAAACAAGACTTCTGACCTTCACACAGCTATAATTTTAAGAATACAAAAATAACCTGAATGCAAGTTCACACTGTGGCGCAGCACACTGAACCACAGTCTGCAATGCTAGCATCCTACACGAGCACTGGTTCGAGTCCCAGCTCCTCCACTTTGATACAAGTCCTGCAATGTGCCTTTCTCTTTCTCTGTAACTTTCCAATCAACAAAAGAAAAGCTTAAATAAGAAAAAACAAAAAAGCACTACTAGGAGCAATGCTGGAGTGACAGGCTTTAGCCAAGGCCAACTCAGTGCCCATCATCAGAGCTCTGCCCATGGCTGCTGCTGCACCACCCAGCCGGAGCCTCCTGGGGCCGCTCTGCACCCCCAAGACTCAGGTTCATCCAGCTGGAGCCTCCTGGGGCCGCTCTGCACCCCAAGACTCAGGTTCATCCAGCTGGAGCCTCCTGGGGCCGCTCTGCACCCCCAAGACTCGCGTTCATCCAGCTGGAGCCTCCTGGGGCCGCTCTGCACCCCCAAGACTCGCGTTCATCCAGCCGGAGCCTCCAGGGTCACTCTGCACCCCCAAAACTCATGTAAATATAGCTGGAGCCTCCAGAGGCCGCTCTGCACCCCCAAGACGCAGGCTAACTTGGCTCGCTCACGTCTAGTCTCACAAGGTGGCTGGAAGGGAACAGGCTGCATGAACACCAGCTCGCAGAGTCACAGCAGCCTGTCCCGCTTTGCACAACGTGGTGTCTCCTCACTCCTCCCACCCTGACCAGGCAGCTGCCTCATCGCTGCCAGCCTGAGAACCTCACCTGGGCCCCTGAAGGCTTCAGGGGGACTGGCTGGAGAGACAGCACCAGTCGCGTCAGGAGCTGCAGGGCCCGGAGAATCAGCAAGAAGATCTACCAGACAAGAGAACGGCACCATTCATGCTGGGGAAGTAAGTGGGGGCTTCACAAACTTGGTGTGGTTTTGGGGCACTTGCTTGTTAACAGCAGGGCAAGCCAGAAATGAGCAAAGGGCCCACAGTGGCTGGAACCCAAGACACCATTGAAGACGCTGCCACAGAGGCTCACTTCTGCAGACCAGTGGTGACACGCTCACTGTCTCGGAGGACAAGGGCACTCATTTGAGGTCTCCCACACACAGGGGTGGCAGCACATCAGCACCTTGGGCCCCACCAAGGCAGACCCTGTGCCCCTCTAAGGCAGACCCTGGGCAGCAGCAGGTGCCGGGTAGGTGACTGGGTTCCTGCCACGCACGTGTGGCCTGGATTGACGTCCCAGCCCCCAGTCACTGCGGCCACTGGGGAGTGAATGCGCATAGAAACTGTCTCTCTACATTTTAAAGGACATAAGAAAACAATTCCACTTATAGTATCATCATAAATAAAATACTTAGGAAAAAAAATTCAACTGAGGAAGTAAAAGGCTCAGGCACTGAAACAGACAACAGCTGAAGGAAACCACAAAGCAAACAGAAGCATGCTCCTGATAGAACACAATCCCTCGCAACATTTCAATGGCCTTCTTACATAGAAGTGGAAAATCAGACCACCAAAGTTACACGGAGTGACAGGGAACACCATGTAACCAACGCGGCATTGTGAATGAACAAAGTTACTTACACTTTCTGTTATAAAACATACCACCAAGCCCCAGTAACCAAAACAGTGTGACAGGCACGAGTCAGACCTGTGACCCTGACCTGACCCCATTTGAATTTCAGTGCTGATCAAGCCAATACACTGAGCTTCCACAGCTATCAGGCAGCCAGGAGGGCAGTGCCAAAGGCCAGCAGGCAGCCAGGAGGGCAGTGCCAAAGGCCAGCAGAAGCCCTGCAATGGTCCCTGGCGCAGGATAGCCTGCACCGCTGGTCAGCAGCACCAACACACAGTGCCCCTGCAGAAACCCTTACGTGCACCAGCTCCTCGTCATCTCGTGCCGAGTAAATGGCGAATCTCCGCTCCAGCGTGGTCTGCAAGCCGTCATGCTCACTGGCTGACAGCTCTGTGTTCACGGTAAACGTCCCCACGAACCTGGGGAGAAACCAGGCCGTCTGCGACTGGAGGAAGGGGACGTGTGCTCTGCTCGCTCACAGCCGAGGAGACTGAAGACGCACCTGCTTCTGCCCTCCTCCTCCCAGGCCATCTCACTGACGGCCACCAACTCCGGCGTCACCTTCTTCGGGGAGCCCTCCGGGGCCTGCCAACCCACAGTGTCCCCAGAACTCTTCCCACCGAGTACTCCTCCCGCCAGATGGGAGCCCTGAGACACACGTCTGTCTCCCACTGGCCTAGGAACTCTTCCAGGGCCAGGATCACACCCAGTGTCCTTCCAACCTTAGTGCCACACCCCTGCCCCGTACACAGCTCTACAAGGAAGGGCTTCAGAACGGACCTGAACCCGCCCCCAGGAGACCCCTCGTCCCAGCTCCATGGGGTGGGTGGGCCTCACCACTTCACCAGGTTGGAGAGGTACAACATATCCACGTCTCCAGGGGGCACTCTGGTGAAGCGAGCAGGGACGATGGAGAGGCCAATGGCGTGCAGATCAGGCTGGCTGCAGACCCTGTTCCGGTAGAAGCCATTTGCCAGCAGGCACAGAAGGTGAACCTGCAAAGGTGGAAGGAAGGTGGGGACAACCAGCAGGGGCTCTTGCTACCACCGTCACACTTTGTGGCAGGAAATAATTACTGCCATATCCAGGACAAGGAAGTAAAAATGATGGCAGGAGTCATTTCTCAGGCCTGGTTTCATATGCTCTTCTTCTCTCCCCATGCTCGTTCCCTCAAAGAAATAATCAAATCCTGAAGCTTCAAACTACAAAATTCTCTTCCTAAGAGGTTTTCTCTTATAAATAAATGAACACAACAGGACCTATGCATGAAATGCTGCAGTGTCTGGGGGAGAGAGAGCAGGCTGCTGAGAAGCCCAAGTGCCCACAGGGGCAGTGGAAGGGTCCCTGGCAGCAAACCCCACCCTCAGCACCCAACCCTCGCTGCTGTGTTCAGGAGGCAGCAGCTTTCAGGGCTGTGCACCAGGCGCTGTGCTAATGGGTCCTTACCTGTGGTTCCTGCTCAACCTTCACACCACCCTCCAAAAGACACACCACTGAATCCCCGCCCCCTCAAGGGAGGAAGCATGGCCCAGGTCACTAGCCAAGGTCACCCAGCAAGCAGCGGAGGGCCAGGGGCCTGGGTTTATGTCCTCTCCACACCCCACAGCCCCCACCTTGTGTGTGTTCTCCTGGACCTCCTTGTGAAAACGCTTCAATGCCCGCCGAACATAAGTCTCAAATTCCATTTTCATCTTCTCACTGCAAGAGCAAAAAGAATCCCAGAATGAGGTGGAAAACCAAAGCCAGACCCTATAGCCCAATGTTTCTGCTCACAGACGGCCTTCCCGCCCAGTACCCACAACTTGGGGCTCACTCCCTGCTGGTACGGATTCGCGAGGCAAGCACCCACAACTTTATGTTCCTTCTGGGAGGCCACACGGAACATCATCTTCCGAGCCTGCATCTCACCAATCTACAGAAAACGAGCTTCAAGTGACTTCCCATGCCTGCCTACTAGATGCTAACACACCACAGTGGACGCACTGACCCCACTAACAAGGCCAGCAGGGGCCACAGGGCATGGAACCTGGGGAAGCCGGGGTCCCTGCATCAGTGGGCATTGTGTCCAGCCCTGTGGCCAAAGTCTGATGCCAAGTCAGCTGACAGGGACTGAGTCTATGGCCCCTGGGCTTGTGAGCAGCCAACTTCAGATGTTTTTTAACTTAGCAGCTTCTGGCCCCTCACTGGAACACTGTAAGCATCGGGCAAAGCAGCCCTTGAACATGGGCCCACCTTCCTTCCCAGTCCCAGCCTGCAGAGGTTTCACACTCCGGCCCTCGGGCTGGGAGGCTGCAGAGCCCTCGGGGCTGAGCCCGGGTCCCCTCCGTGTGCCTCCAAAGCTGGCAGCAAGCGGCAGCTCCTCCCACTGTGAGGCGCGGCCCCGAGCTCACCTTCTCTCTCGGATTTTCACCTGCTCTGGTGTCTCGATCTCTATCTGTACCGCATCCGCAGGCACAAGGGACCGCGAGGCAGCAGGCTGCTCGCCCACATCTCCCGGCACAGGCTCGGAGAGTTCTGTGGAAGGTAAGTTGTTCTTAATGAGTTCTACCAGCAGCAGCAACTGCACTGAGCTGAGCCAAAGCTCCGCTGGGAAGGGAGCGGGGAGGGGTGCAAGGCCGCTCCCAGTGCTGAGCACACCCCCTGACACATGGCACAGTCCCCAGAGAAGATGCTCTGGAGAACACTGAGGTCCCAGGGCAGGAGCTGGAGGAAGAGCACCGCTGGCAAAGGGCTGAGGCACAGGTGCAGTTTAGGGCCACTCCTGTTCAGATGCCCAGTGAGAACGCCCTCCTGGCCTGTCACCACCACAGCGGAAACACAGTGTCCTTGGTATTGCAGTCAGGACTGACACATGCGTCCCCCTTTTGCCATAGGAAACTCTGACTAGGAACAGCCCTTCTTCACCTCTTTACCCCCAGTCTGTTTGTAAACACCAGCCAAAAGCAAATGGACTTGCCGACTTAGATCTCCCTGGAGTCAGCACTTCAGTAGCAAAAGCAGTTTTGAGGCTCTGGGCTGGGAGCCTCACGCTCACCTAAGGCCCAGAGCCTGGCTGCTGCACACCAGTCTCTCCCACAGTGAACCCAGGTGTCAGGGGGCGGTGAGGGTGAGGGGCAAAAAATGCTTTTGGGTCTGGAAGTGAGAAGGTGTAAGATCAACCAAAACACCTCGGCCAGAAGACATAAATGTCTGCCCTAACAAACGAGGTGCTGTTACAAGGACTCAGTCCGCAGCCCCAGGACAGGGACCCCTGTCACCCCAGTGCAACGGGAGACGGAAAGCATCACCTGACAGGGAGTCCACCCCCCGCCCCCGGCCCTCCCCACCGCTGCAGCCTCAAGCCTGTCCCATCTCTAGCATTAACTCAGCATCCGCAAGAAACATGAGGGATACTGAAACACGCCTAACGACAGCGAGGCTGGAGACTGTACCAGACCGGAACACAAGACATTCTACAGAACCAGCGACTGGGATGCTAGGAAGAAGGTGGCGCCCTGAAAAGCAACCAGGATGGCAGGAGTCCTGTTGCAAGTGGACACCAGACGCCGAAGGGCCACAGCAAGTAAGGATGCTTTACAGCTGTGATAAAACTCTTGATATTTATGTCTGTCTTGTTTTCTCTGGGTTCACAAAGTGTATTTAGAGGAAACCCTCAATGTAGCTACACCTGTGCAATGAAACTGTGGTGTAGCAGCAGGAAGTGGCCAGTGCCGCAGGAAGTGGGCCGACCCCCAGGCCTAACATTTGGGGCCCAGCTGGTAGCTGCTCAGGGCAAACACCTGGCATTGAAAGGAGGTTGCCACCATGTGGCGGGTGCTGGTACAGCCCTCTAGGTGGCAAGGTTGGGCTCGGCCGGGAGCTTCGCTGCTGTGGAAGCCTGCATTCTTGCACAGAGGTGGCTCTCTCCCTGCACTACTGCAATGCACGGTCCCCAGCTTGGTGCTCGGGTCCTGACTGCCACCTCACCCTGCATCTTCTCAGTCCGCCAAGAAAACAAGATGGCAACAGGGATAAGACTCCAGGCGGAGGCCCAGTCCGCAAAGCATTTTACCTTCAACCTCTTCCCAGTCATCTTCACTCTCCTCCTCCTCCTCGTCCTCGTCCTTGTCACTGCCTTTGCCGGAGGGAACCCCTCTCCCCGGGCGACGTACCTTCCCAGGGTCGCTGGGACAGTCCCTGCATGAGGACAACAGGAAGGATGACCAAGGGGCCCAGACCCCTCAGCAGCACACCCCAGCTAAACACTCAACAATCGTCCACTTGCCCAGAACCTGCTGCAAGCCTTTAAGGGGACTGTCAAGCGGAGCTCCACGTCCCCCAGGCACAGCCTCCAGACACCGGGGAGCTGGCGCTGTCACTCTAGCCCTAGACACATGGTCAGCACAGGCAGGACACTATTAACCCACGGCCCAGAGCTGGGGAGCAGAGACAGTGAGGCAGAGGACAGAAGACACCCCAACAGTAATGGCAGTAACTGGCATGACACCGGTGCACGTGTGCGCACTCCGAGGCCAGAGCGAAGAGGAGGGACTCCACTGCTGAGCACTGCGGAACAACTCGGAAGACACACTGCTAAGAAATGTACCGAGACCGAAGCCGGCAGGATTTTAACTTGAGGGTGAGTGAAACGGGGCAGTGCATCGGTGTGCCATCAACCATAATGGAAACACAGCCAGTTACCAACCAGACTAAGGATTGGCAGGTTAATCAGCAGCTGAAGAACAAATGGCTACTGGGACTGGTGTGGTGGCAGAGCAGGCTAATTCTCCACCTGCAGCCCTTCCCCAGCCCTCCAGGCCCTGCACAGCCCTTAGCACTGGGCACAGACCCCAGCACATGGACAGCTGATAGTGCCATTTCGAGTAAATCAAATTATTATTATCCCAAAGTCATGAGTCTGAGCCATTGTGGTGATGCAGCAAGCTAACCCTGCAGTGCTGGCATCTCACACATGACCAGTTCCAGTCCATCTCCTTACTGATGGCCTAGGAGGACAGCGGAGGATGGGCTAAGGCCTTAGGCACCTGCAACCACACCGCAGACCAGGAAGAAGCTCCTGGCTTCCCAGCTTCAAACCAGCCCCACTCTGGCTGAGGGGGCCAGTTGGGAAGTGAACCAATAAACAGAAGATCTCTCTCTCTCTCCCCCACATCTCTCCTTCTCTCCCTCTTTTCCTTCCCTTTTAAAATCTTTTAGAAAAAGACAAAACAGTTCGTAAGTACAATAGATTTCAGACAATTCCTGAGGCAGGTGTTTGGGCTGGTGGTGAAGATGCCTGTGCCCCACACGGAGAGCCTGGTCCAGCGCCCCCTCTTCCTGCTAACTCCAGGAGGTATCCAGTGACGGCTCAGGAACTCGGCTTCCTGCCACCGTGTGGGAGACCCGGCACCCAGCTCCTTCAGCTGTGTACCGAGGTATTTCCAGACTGTGCCCATGCGCACTTGGTAACACAGCAGCCAAACTTTCCCATTGGAACAACACAGCAACGGTGTCCTCGTGACAGGGTCTGACCATCTGACCAGGCGCTGTCTCGGGGAGAGGGACCCCTGGGCCCCCTCAGTAGCAGCCTGCTCAGTCCGACCACACGGGGAGGCAGCCAGGGAGCAGGGGGCTTGGAGGGCTCTTCACAAAGGCCAATGGAGACAACTTTTTGTGCAACCATGCTGGCTGTCCCCTACTGGACGGCTCTCCTGTGCCGGGACTACCGGACGTGGGGAAGGAAACTCCAGCCACCCTCTGCTCTTCCTCTCCTCCAACTCCCCCGACTTCCTCAGATAATGAAGGAAAATCCTATCACCGCATGTCATCACGAACCTTCAGAACCACAAGGCGCATGCAGATGAAGCAGGCTCGGTTCCCACACTCAAGAGCTTAGAGGGGCAGCAAGCCTGGACTGGCTGCACAGCTTCCAGAAACCAGGGCGACGGGAGGCGCAATCAATGAAGACGACAGCACAGTAGGCTTCAGGTCAGTGGAAGGCAAGCTAAGGGCCCCCTCAGGGGTGCAGCAAGTGCTGGCGACACAGGCAGACAAGAGCGGCACTCACCTGAACAGCACAGGAGGCCGGGACGGCACAGGTGCACCTGCAGGCAGTGGGCACACGTGCGTAGCACTACCAGCAATGAGGCACCAGTGCAGGGCCTCACTGCTCCTGGGCTTGCCACTGCCTGGCTGTGTGGCCATGGGTTGATCCCCTGTGCCCACTGCCAGCTGCCACTGACCTAAGCTCTACCAGAACCTTGCCTTTCCCAGGACCCCAGCGACAAGCAGAGTGCCTGGTACCCACGCCCTCCAACCGCAGCAACTAAGAACACCACACTCAGATTTCTCCCCGTCATCTCACCTGAAGTCATCGTCACTGAGGGGCTCGGCCTTGACCGCCTGCAGGCGTTCAGACTTGACAGTCACCGTGGCCACTGCCTTCTTCTTGGCTGGACCGCCGGCTGTGGCCCTGGCACCACTGCGGCCTCTCTTCCTGTTTCCTTGTGAAGCTGGTGAGGGAAGACTCCTCTTCGGGGGCTTTGGTTCCTCGTCTTCAAAGTCATCTAGGCGAGCACAGGCAGCAAAAGGTGAGGGGTGCCAGGGAAGGCAGAGGCCCCGTGGCTGCCGGCAGGGCCCTCTGCACACCACAGCTCTCCCACCTGCTCACTAGCCCAGTCTGCCCAGGGCCAGCCCTCAGCCCCGCCCCACCTGCCATCTTCCCTGGGCAGTAGGCTAACCTGCCTCTCCTAAGGCCCCGTGATATCCTAACCTCCAAATCTTAAACTTCAGCTCATCGGAAGTGGAGAATGTGGGCTCAGGCATGTTGCCTTGTTACACTTGCCCAGACAAGTAACTGTTTAGGGTAATGCAGTCTTCTCCAGTGAAATGTTTCAAGTTCATAAACAAATCAAAGTGGCCACAACTTTATTTCTATTAGGGCATGATCAACTGTATCAACACACACACACACACACACACACACACACACACACACACACACAAACCACTACACTTCTCTGTTAAGTCCACTGCCCGCCACGCCACACCAACCAGCAAGGCAAACTTCAGGCTGCAGTTACATAACAGTCAAAAACTGTTTTCTTTCCTCCATTTCTGTGTGTGTTAAAGTGAAATGTCAAAAAAATACATAACCTGTTGGCTTCAGTTAAATTTGGGTGTCTAAAAATATGGCACTCATACCTAACCAAGTATCTGCACTGATTTTAATAATGTATAAATAACAGGAAAGGATATTTTCCTATTTTGCAAATACACTCACACACACAATCTTGAACCTGAAACACATTTCCTGTGCCTTTCCATCACCAGTTAATTTTGGGAAAAGAAAAATACTCTTGTTATTGTATTGAAGTCCCCAAATGGCTGCAGTATTAACCCCAAATATCTAATTACTACACTCCTGATACGTCTGGCTTTTTGGCTCTGCACAGCTGTGTGTGTCCCCCAAGAATACACCTTTGTGTGATGGAACAAGCTCTCTCTCCATGCGCACTAAATGAAATCAAATTTAACTCAACATCACAACCCAGAGGCGTCTTAGTACTACAGAAATCACCGCTTCACTACTGTCTCTAGGACCAGCTGTATTTACACATTCCCATGCTTTAAGCATTTCACGGAAACATCTGCAAATATTCTGTTAAAAACAAAACATTTCAATACTTCAAATCGTTATTTCGAATTTGATGCCAACGCCAGAGGCTGCTTAAACTCAGGATTTCTGTATCTCATCACAAATATACCAAATACTTCCATTGTACAATGTAAAATGCAGGCAGGACACTCCCTTCAGAACTACTGCTAAACTAACTGCTTAAAAGGCACAGCTGTTCTGCACTAAGAAGGGAGACACAGAAGCTACAAGGAAAAAACAACCAAAAATCATTCTTCATAATATCCAAAAAAATTAATTTCACTGCCAACCATGGACAATGGTTAATTATGTCAGTTACATAACAAAATGTAATTCAGTCATCCCAAAAGACGAAGGAAAACACGCACGCCGAGCACGCCAAGTGTTTACAGTGCCTGTTGCAGGCAGGAGTTCGAGCACTGGGACAACATCCTGTAACAGGAGCACCCATCTCCTGAATGACACCCTGGAGGGCACCGGTGCCAGCTCAAACCACGCATCTGGGAGACCTGCACTCTGGCTGCTGGCTGCAGCTACTGCGGGCATTTGGGAAAGGCACCGGCAGATGCAACATGTGTCTTTCAAACAAAAATGTAAAAACAGACTAGAAGCAAACAGATTTCCCAAGGACCCTCAGGGCTGCTGGATGGAGATACACCGCAGAGGGATGAGGGGAGCTGAGGTTGTGGGGCTGACGGTGACCGCTTGCTACAGGGTAGAGGGGGCTCCCGAGGCTGAGCGACGACAAGTGGGTGTGCAAACACCTGAGGTGGTAAACACGGGAAGGCACGAGTCCGCAGGTGACCATAAGGAGCGCGGCTCCGCCTTCCCGCTATTCCCGCGGGGAAGGCGTGCGGGATGCAAGTCGGAGTGTGGGAGGGGGTTAGCACAAGCTGTTATCCTGGGCGTCAGCACCCAACGTCCCACTCGGCCCGTCCTGTGGGGAAACAAAACCAAGGCCACGTCCACCTGCCAGGGGGCTGGACTTTATCCCCTGGGCAGCCGGGCGCACAGGGATGGAGCCGGCCGCACGGGCCAGGTCGGGTTCCTGCCGTGGAGAACAAAGGCTCCGGGGAGGGGGAACCCGGGCATCCACAGCACCGTCCGCCTCTCCACGGGGTCACCCTAACGTCGCCGAGACCCCGGGGAGGCCTGGGCGCGTCGGCCTCCGCCCCTCAGCCCTGCGCGCGGCCTCCCCGCCCCAGCATCCGGCCTCCCGCAGGAGGACGCAGCGGCTCCCGCGAAGCCCGGGGCGCGGACCGGCGCTCACCCTCCTGCTTCCCTCGCCGGGCCGCGCTCTTGCCCTTAGCCTTCGAGCCGCGCGTGGCCTCGGGCACCTGAGGCTCCCTACGCGCAGCGCGCCTCCGCACCATGTTGCCAGGGCGAGACTCCCTCGCTGTGTGACGCAGCTAGCGGCGCCAGGCCACGCCCCCTCGCCGCGGCCCGGGTCACGCCTTCCTTTCAGCAGCTCTGACCACGCCCCTCGCAGCGGTCCGATCACGCCCCCTCGCCCGGAGTTCCGCCCCAACACCCCCCCCCCCGCTTGGTAAACTGCATGACGCCAGCAGAGGCTCGCGTCCTCTTTCCACTTCCGGTGCCTTGCGTCCTCGCGTTCCCAGGGGCGGGAGACGATCCCCTGCTCTCGCGAGACGCGGGGAAAAAGGGCGCAGGGTTTGAAAGATGGCGGACGACGTGGACCAGGTGAGTGGACTCCGGCGGCCTCGCTGCCCACCGGCTTGCCCACCCCGGCCGTGGGCACCGCTTGGAGGAATGGCCGGGGCGGGGGAGGGCTCCTCTGTCCGGGTCCCTTCTGCGAGGTCGGCCGGGGCCCCGGGGCCTTTTCAGCCGGCGCTGTTCCGGTCGGTCGTGCATCGCTCCCGCCGTTTCCTGTGGAGCAGACGGCTTTTGTCCGCTCTGTGCCTCTCTGATCCTGAGACGAGTTCCTGGGAGCGGGGACCGGGACTTCTGTCTCTAGAGGTCTTGGAGGAGCCTGGTGCCCTGCGTTGGGGGCCGGCCTTTGGAAGCGGTGGAACCTGGCGCTGTGAGACCCCCTGGGAACCAGCTTAGCCACTTGGAGCTGCATCCGTTCCCCACCCCGTGAGCCCTGTGTTCCCAGCAGTTGGCTTTGCAATCCTGGGAACCGTTTATCGTTTCCTAAAAGCATTGGTTTAGTCCTCACGATCTCGGTGGGAAGGTAGAGGGGGCCACCAGGATTTCAGAGCTGTGACTCAGATCTCAACCTGCGAGACTCCTCACGGCTGGTACTCAGCCGCCCCGTCCACACACCTTCATCTTGACCAGTGAGCATGCACTAGGCGTTAAGACTAAAGTCCCAAAACGGACTCCCACACCTTGAGTGGGTCTGGCCATGGTGATCCGTGGCGATTTGTGTGGTTAGCTGTTGTTGATGCAATAACACGCTCTGTGGGAGCCACTGTGCTCTGCCTTGGAGCAGCTGCTGGAAGCCTCCCAGCTGCAGCACTGGGTAGGCCCGGCTGGTACAGTCCTCCGCTGCGGCAGGCCGGGGTGGGGAGAGCTGCAGCCATGGCCTGTGTTCCCCCCCTCCCCCGCGCGGTCAGCTGGGCACCAGGTGACCAGTGCTGTTTGTGTTACCAGCAACAAACCAGCAACACCGTGGAGGAGCCGCTGGATCTCATCCGGCTCAGCCTGGACGAGCGCATCTACGTGAAGATGAGGAATGACCGAGAGCTCCGGGGCCGGCTCCATGTAAGTGAGCTGACCATGCCACCCCGGGGGAAGTCAGAGCACTCCTTTGTCATCCCTTGCTGCCCCACTCCCAGTGTGAAATGTGAAACTTCTCAAGATTTAGTATTATTGCTTGTTTGGCAGGCTGAGTGACAGAGGTGAGGAGTTGGGAGACAGAGAGAGAGAGAGAGAGAGGGAGATCTTCCATCTGTTGGGTCATTCCCTAAATGGTTTCTCACCTCCCGTTTCAGGCTTACGATCAGCATTTAAATATGATACTAGGAGATGTGGAAGAAACGGTGACTACCATAGAAATTGATGAAGAAACCTATGAAGAGATTTATAAAGTGAGTCTTGTTACTGTCCAAGTGTTTGTGGTTGTCTCAGCATCGCACACGTGTGTGTGGAGAGGCTGTCCCTTTCTCACACCTGCTGATGGACTTGGTTGATGAAAGGCAGGGGTCAGGCTCGTTTCCAGCGCTGGCCTGACCGCTTCCTCTGTGGGCTGACTCGGACGAGGGAGCCTACCGTGTGAACGTCTCGCTGCTGAGCCCGAGCAGGCGTTACCACTCACCACCTGGGGTTACCAGGAGCGCCGTGTGCTGGCGTGCGTCACATGCCTCGTATTGTTCTCTCGTTCTGTGTACATTGAAGCTAGCACCACTTATTGTGTGAGAAAGTAAAACTGAGTGATTTTTAAGATATTTGTTAGGTAGGGGGTAGAGACATAATAAACCTGTTATGTGTTAAGATTTATTCACTTGAAAGGCAGCATGACAGAGAGGGAGATCTGTAATCCGCTGGTTGTCCCTGGGTGGCGACAGTGGCCAGAGCTGGGAGTCTGCACCAGGAGCTTTGTCTGGGCCTCCGTGCAGGTACAGGTGCCCAAGTTCCTGAGTCATTGCTGCTGCTTTCTCAGGCGCATTGGCAGGGAGCTGGCTCAAAGTCCCCCGTCGGTGACTACTGTGAGAGATCATGGTTCCCACGTGGAGGTTAGGGTGGCCCCTGTTCAGCTGATAACTGAATCATCACTGACAAATCCTGGGTAACAGCAGGGTAGGGTATCTCCCACCACCCCCAGCCCCACTTTGTGGGACGAGAGGAGAGGCTGGGCAGCATGCAGCAGCGACAATCCCACGGGGACAGCGGCAGTGCTGCCTGCCCTGGGGTGGCCACCCTCTCCAAGCTCAGATGTGCACGCTGCAGCACTTGGTGCTTGTGCACGGAGTGTAACAGGTGCCCCGAGCCTGGCTCCTGGAGCTGGGCTGTGGCTCGCTCACAGATGCCTGTTCCTAATGAGACACACTGCGTGGTTTTTCCTTGATAATACAATTTCTTTAAGCCCCAGAATGTCATAGGTTTCTCATGTGCGTATTCCTGATCAATTCTGTGTAAAGTGCTATCCCAGTTTGTGGGGTTTCGGTATTGAGTCATTTCCTCCTGTCTCCCCCAAATTCATGATGGCCACCTTGGGTCCATTTTATAGGCAGTTTGGCTGCGAAGACCAGCCCCTTCACTGACCTGTGCCCTGAGGCTGAGCTTGTTGACCTGGGCCTCAGTGGGCCAGACCCTGCAGGCTTTTCTTCCTGCTCTGTGGTTTGCGACCCGGAAGCCATTGCTTTTCTAATCCTGGGAATCCTGTCTATTTTCATCTCTGCTTCAAGTCCACTGGTTCCTGCCCGAGCTCGTCTCTGGCACTGCCTTGCTGAGTGTAAGTGAGTTTGTGGCAAAACCTAGATGTTGGCCTTTCTCCACCGCTTTCCCAATACAGCTATTTTTGCCAAGATGTGAAGAGAACTTGAGACATGTCGCATCTCCCTACTGGCCATCAGGTGGCAGTCTCTGGGCACAGCAGCCTCTGCTGGCTTAGCTCAGCACACTTGCTGCCCTCGCCCACAATGGTCAACCCCTGGGCTGCTGAGACATTGGCATTGGCAATTGGCCATTGCAGCTCTGCCAGTCCTGCCTTCTCACCGGTCTGTGCCTATCCAGTGACCCTGTCACTCTTCACTCACCATTGGTTAAAACTCAGTCCTGTGGCTATTACTGGTTGCTAGATCCATGAGAAGTGTGGTCCTCTCGTGTGCCCAGGAAGAGGGGAGGAAGGGCTGGGATCCTGGATTGCTGCAGTTGGCAGCGTGTGGCAGGCAGTTCCTGGATTGGCTCTGTGCAGTGCACACAGGTGAGCGTGCAGGCCTTTTGGCCCGCTTTGCCGGTCTCTGATGGTCCCGTTTGCTAGAATGTTCTCATGAGCAGTGCTAATGATGGCTCCTCCCCATATAAATGCATCTGCTTCTCTGGTTTCTTTCAGTCCACCAAGCGGAACATCCCGATGCTCTTTGTCCGGGGAGACGGCGTGGTGCTGGTGGCCCCTCCACTGCGGGTCGGCTGAAGCCACGAGCTGTCCTGCGTGGGAAGTCGGACCCTTGGCACGGTGGCCTCTTCAAAGGGACAGGGCATTGGAAGGGGAAATTTGCAGACAATTTGATATTAAGAAATGACCCAGGGACTGCTCAGCTCCTGGCGGAAGTTGTTTCGCAGGTACCTTAGCCCCTCTCTGCTACGTGGCAGTTTGTGTTTTCTGCAGCCTTCCTGGTCCATACACTCACCGAGCTGGAGAACTCTGGAGCTGGTTTGCCCCATTGCATTTATGTAGAGAATTTCTGATTTCTTTTTCCCTTTCATTAAATTTGGTGTTTCCTTTTTGCTTTTTTTTAAAAGCAGTCTCCTGTGTTATGCATTCCTTAAAAGTATAAAGTCAGCGCGTATCCACAGCATGCCGGCCGCGTGGAAGCGTCCTGCCCACGAGGCCTCTGGGAAACAGCTGCACAGGTCATGTAACCCACGCTGCCAGGTCACTCAGGTAGAGTGGGGACAATGACACGGCCATGCTTCAGGCCCAGAGAAGCTGTTTGCCGTTCTAGAATCACAGGCCTCGAGTCAGCCAGTGCTTGATGTCTGCGTGTTCGAGGCTCTGCAGCTTCCGACAGGTCAGGGCTCAGACACGGCCCCTCTGAGGAAGCCCCTGTCTCAGCCTGCACGGTCAGTTGGTGGCCAGCTGTCAGTGTGCTGGGTGCATGTTGCTCACCCATCACCAAGCGTGCTGTGTTAGCCCAGACCTGGCACTGTGAGCCGTGTGCGGGTGGCAAAGCTGGCAGGTTCTCTTCTCAGCTTAGTGTAGAAATATAAAGCCGGGAATCGGTTGCGGACAGTTTTATCTGTGAACACGAGAAGAAGGAAGCGAAAGCACCTCCCGGGGGCCCTGGGGGATCAGTGTCTCCTGAAAGAAGAGGTTTCTAGAAGTGTCTTGGGTTCTTAGGGTCCCCTGACTCCTTGTCAAGGCAGGAGCCTGCAGAAGCCTTTCCCCAGGTGCTCCCTGACCAATTAGGAACTGGCGGGGCAGTCGCTGCGCGGCCCACTTGAACTTGTTCTCATGGTCACCCAGTGAGAACAAACTGGTGACTGAAAAGTGAGAAGTTTCCCAGCAGTGTACGTGCAAACACGGGGAGGTGAGAGAGGCCTCACAAGGCTTGTCCTTGGACCTGACCCAAGACTGGAGCGGGCCTGGACAGTCCCACCATGTGCCGGGAAGTGCCTGCAGCCACTTTGCAAGAGGGGTGTCATTTCGCTGTTTACTGAGCCTGCCCCAGCATGTTCTTGGAGAAGAGCAGAGGAAGGGAGGTGACCCATTCCGAGCGGATCCCCCGGGAGCCAGCTGCAGCCACACCTTGTCCTGAGGCCCTGTAGTGGCAGCCTGATGGGGGCTCTTCCGGGAGATCCCTGTGTCTGAGTGCCGAGGAGGACACCCTTACCTCAGGCACGTTGCACCCACATTTTTATTTAATCCTGTGGCTTAGGCCCGCCGACTCCTGCATGTGTGGGTCTGAGGTACGGGGCACTGATGGGCTTGACTCATTGTTCACCCCAGCTGTGCCAGGACTGGCCACTGGCCCTCTTGCTGTGTCACCGCCTCCGGGTGACTGACGTCCACCCAGTCCAAGGACTGCGTCTAATCCTTGTCTGCTCCTTCCTTTGTCATTCCCCACCCCACCCTTTTTTTTCATGAATTACACAACATTTGCCTGTGAAGACTTAGCTGTGAGTGTGACATTTGTAAAACTCACAAACCCTAAAATCTGACCCAGTTGCCCTTACACCTAAAACTCAGCTGCCTCAGGACATCTGCTGGCCCAGCTCTTCTAGCAAGGGGTAGGAAAGGGTTAACTGTGGAAGAACTGAGAGCCTTGGTCAAACCCAGGGAGAGGGGGCTTTGTGGGCTCAGCCCCCAAGGGGACAGCTCCGGCAGGGCCCTACCCTGTCCTCCACCCTGAGGTAGCAGCCGTCGGTGGTCCCTGGGCACCATAGCTGAGACGCCCCAGGCTGCACAGCACTCGGCCCCACTAGCTGATAGGACACGGGCGCATAGCTGGGGGTTCTGTACCTGGTAGTCCCAGGGCTCTCCAGCAGAGGCTGCACCTGGCTCCCCGCCTTGATTTCAGGAAAGAGACTGCCGGACATGTCTGCTGCCCACAAGGATATGCAGGCAGAATGTGGGACTGCAGTGAAGGGTGCATCCCTGGGAACCGGCAAGCTAGCTGTGTCGGCCTCTGGACACCAGGGCAGAGCTTCTGCATCTGCACCCTCACGGGTAGCATTTTACTTCTGTCCACGCTACAGCCAGCTCACCGCAGGGAGGAAGAGGGGCAAAGAGTTGGCAGCCATGAGCAGGGTCACCTGTGCTGAGCAGAGAAGGCCACAGGATCCCAGGAACGCCCTGGCTCCAGGCACAGAGTCCTCTACTGCTCGGTTGTGCCCACCCTGGCCGCACAGACTCTCCTCCACGGCTGACCCACGTGCCAGTTGCAAGGATCTTGCCCTCTGCCACATGGGTCCCGTCCACAGGCTTGCCCTCACGGCTGTGGGCCGGGTTGTACCATCTCAACTGCCGGTCTTCTCTCAAGGAAGCTAATTTATGGGCTGCTCCATAAAACCAGTGTTCTGTTCCTTCACCAGTGAAAACTGTCTCGGAAGACACTAGTGAGATCACGCTGTGGCACTGCGGAGGAGAGCGGGGAGTGCCCGGAATGGCAGCTGTGATGGCCTGATGCTCACTGGGCCCCAGGGCCCTCACAGCTGCTGGGGCAGGCAGGGGGCAGAGCCCCCTCCTAGACAAGCCCACTGAGCAGCAGGTGCAAGGCGACGTGAAGGGGCCACGCCCTGCCCTCCGTGAGGGCCAGCAGCCACCAGCGACATGGCACATCGCTCCCCATCCCTCTGTGCTTCCCACACCTGGACAGCTGGCCCGCCTTCCTGTCAATCTTGTCTGCCACCATCGGCCTCAGAGGAGCAGTGGATGCCAACTGTGGTACCTCGCTGGTTACCTGTTCACCTGGAAGAGTAACCTGCCAAGAAAGGAGGAGGTCTGAGGTTTCAGATTCCTTCTAGATCTCTTGCTCAGCTCTGGTTAACCAGAGCTGTAGATTCTTCTCTTGGCTGCTTCTGGAAACCCCCCCCCCCCCCCCCCAGTTCCTGATGGTGCTTATTCCAAAGGAGTTTTTTCCTTGGTTCTCATCCCACCCGGCTGCAGTGCTGGGAGGCTCTGGACATCAAAGGGCGGTCCCTCGCGGGAGGCAAGATGGGCTGCAAAGGCCATCGAAGTGCCAAGGAGACCCAGTTCAAGTCCCAGGTGTGCCCCACATCAGCTCTGCCTTGAGTCCTTCATGACAGGGGAGCATCTACCTGGGCAGCCAGGAGGGGGCTGCTACCACAGGTGCTGACCGTGGAGTCTAAGGCCACAGCCATGGGGAAGCTCGCCAAGGTCGCTCCACCTTGCTGCAACGCCCCACACCTGCTATCTCCCAGGCCGGCTTCAGGAGGTGCGTGACTTACACGTCACATAGAGAGAAGGTGAGAGTCGGAGAGAGTTTACTACATCCATTGGCTTATTCCCCGGTTGGCTACCACAGCCAGAGCTGGTCTGGTCTGAAGCTGGGGAGTCAGGAGCTTCTTCCAGGTCTCCCATGTGGATACAGGGACCCAAGTCCTTGGATCATACTTTACTGCCTTCCCAGGCCACCAGCAGGGAGCTGGAGCAGAAGTAAAGCAGCCGAGTCTAGAACAAAGCCGCCCACGTGAGATGCTGTCACTACAGATGGAGAATTAGCATGGCATGCTACCACAACAGTCCCAAACTCCTGACTTTGGAATGATAATGATAATTTGATTCATTCCAGGGCTGTGCAGGGCCTATAGTGAGGGGACCCAGCCTCACAGGGCTCTGGGGAGGTGTGATTCAGGAAGGAGCATCTGAGTGGCCATCCCACCAACAGGAGGAGCAGGCCCCATGAGATGCTGCCAAAGCCGGTCACCATCTAGGCCCACTGTAACTCAGGCCCTGGGCGAGGGCAACTTGGCCTGGTCAAGGGAGACCATTGGGCTGGAGAAGCCCAGGGAGGGTGGCGGGAGATGGGCTAGATGAGGAGCCAGGTCACATTGATGCTGTAGGTGAGGATGAGAAAACCAAGAGAATGAAAGATGCACAGCCACAGCAAGTCCAGGCCCAGAGCCTAAGCTAAGCCACACTGCATGTCGTGCCAGCAGGGGCTGCTCACAGCATCTCTGAGTGCAGTTATGTGCAGCCTGGCCGGCTGCACGGACAACTCCCCATCACTGCTTCCTGCATGAACTAGCTACTTTTGGTGACCCGTGTTCCTGGGGCACCAGCAAGCTGGGGCTGTTCAGCCCCCAGCTGAGCCTGGTGGGAAAACGGAGCTGTGCCCCTCAGGCCCCTGCAGCAGAAGGCAAGGGAGGGGTGTCTACCCAGCCAGACGGCGCGCCTTCGCATGCATGTCTCAATGTGAACACCAGATGGTGCTGTGCTCTTTGCTTTTCAACCTCAAGACGAAGACCTGGACCAAGGAACCTACAAGCATGCAGTCCAGGCAGAGTGGGTTCAGTGGAACGCTGGGGTCCTAGGTGTGTGACGAATGGTGGTCCGCCTCCTCGACCTCATCGCCACAGCTTCATCAAAGGCCAGGGCCCGCCTGCTGTGAATGTAGCCTGGGTTTGCAGTTGTTGACACCCTCAGTTCCAGTGCTGAGTGACACAGGGCGTGCTGTGTGAAGAGTGCAGATTTGGAGAGAAGTCCTGCACGGGCTTCCCAAGGAGTCCCAGTGCCACTGCTCACAGACCTCAGGAAGTAGTGCCAAGAGTGAACTGGGGTCCCTGAAATACCCTGCTGGGGGGCCTGGCGTTCCGTGTGCCCTAATCAAGCCCACAGCACTCTGGATCACGAGGAGGAGACCCGGCTTACAACCAAGATCAAAGCCCTGCCCACGCATGTCCACCTCCTAGCTCCTAGTTCTTTTCGTAAAATCCCCCTTGCTGTCTTCTTCCACTGTTCTTTTCTGACGTGGCCGGTCTGAGAACTGCTAGCACCTGGCTTGCATCCAAGTGCCCCATGGCAAAGATGTGGGAATGGGCCAGTCTGGCAGAGTCCCCTGCCCTCGTGGTCCTCGCTGGTGCTCAGCGGGGTTTTTCTCGGCCCGGCTTCAGGCTGCGATGAACAAGGTCACCCAAGAACATCACGAGACGGTGACATCACCGTCAACTCCTGTCCAGAACACACTGAGGACTTGGATGACCAAGGGCACAGGCAGATCATCTTGGTGACAGTTTGGCAGGGCCATGTACAGGCCCCTGCCCAGTATCAGGGCCCAGG